TCTATCAAAAAAAGAGATCATATCAAAAATATATGGTAAAAATACATGTATATTTGTAGATGCTAGAATTATATAATATTATACAATAGGATTTTGTAATCGGTGTGTAATTTTGTCTAAACACATCGACTCTCCAAAGCAGACACTAATGCAAAAGATTCGCCAAATGTTTCCATACTCTGAACCAACCAATCTGCAATGGTAAGCTTTTGAAGTCTCTTTCTTCTTTTTAAACCTCTTGAGAGTTTCCTGGGAGACAACCGCCTTATTTTAGGATTGGTCAGTTTTATCTTGCACATCAGCTCAGGAATATCGCTGAACAGTCGACTAGGTCCTTGGAGGTTTCTTTTTATATGTCTGGGCAACAACAACCTACACGCAATATTTGATACATGTAACGCATGTATCGATATATAGGCCTACGTTACCGATACATACGTTACCAAATTGCGTTTAGATTGTTGTTGTTGTTGTTGTTGTTAACGTTGTTTGTTTTTTGATTTCATTGTTTGTTGTCCTTTGTCACAACTGTGGGTTCGTGCGGCCATAGAAGTAGAGAAAATATGGTGCGACGTTGTATATGTGCGCACGCATGTTCTGACGGCGCTCATTCTTATTTGTTACGTAAGTATGTACATACGTTACCAATGATATGACGGTATTGTTTTCTGATTCCATTGTTTGTTCTCTGTTGTCGCAACTATGTGGGTGCGTGAGACGTTGTATATGTGCGCACGCTTGTTTTTACGTCGCTCATTCTTCTTTGTTACGTAAAAATGATACAAACATTATCAAAGAACGTGAACATTGTTTTTTGATTTCATTGTTTGTTGTCCTTTGGCACGACTGTGGGTGCTTGCGACGTTGTATACATGTATGTCCGCACGCATGTTTTTACGTCGCTCATTCTTCTTTGTTACGTAAATATGATACATAAGTTACCAAATAATGTGAAGGTGTTTTTCTGATTCCATTGTTTGTTCTCTGTTGTCACAACTGTGTGGGTGTGTGAGACAATGCACATGTGCTGTCGCATGTTTTAACGTCGCTTTTCTTATATATTACATTCATATGATTCATATGTTACCGATACATACATGAAGATATTTTTTATTTCATTGTTTTTTGTCTGTTGTCACGACTTTGTGAGTACGTGCGACGTTGTATATGTGCGCACGCATGTTTTTACGGCGCTCATTCCTCTTTGTTACGTAAATATGATACATACGTTACCATGAAGCGTGTAAATATTTATTTATTCTATTTTCGTTGGTTGTCTTTCGTTTTGTGGGCAAACACTTATGTCTTAATGTTGTGTTGGGGGTGGTCGGCTCATGCCCTAGTTAGATTCCACTGAAANTAGTCACTTCTCCTTGTTTGTCCGAATTTTTCTCAGAGCACTGACGGTATTACTTCATTCCCTCACATATATTCCAGTCACTTTTCAGTTTGCTGAACATCGTCTCTAGAAGATATTATACTTCTAGTCCCTTGCCTACACTGGTCTATCGTTTCATTGTGTGAAAAGCTTCAGTGGCCAGACAATTTTCACGGTGCATGTAAGATAAACAGTAAAAAAAGACCCACAATAAATTCGGCAACCGTAGGATGCGCCAACATATAGATAATATTATTGCGATAGTATTATTCAAGGCAGACTATAATACTCACCCTTTTGTGTCGTCTTGTCAAACTTGGTAATGCCTCATTAGTGGCATTCCTCACCGATATCATACTCTGCAAGGTGAAAAATGAAATCAGTATCAGTTACGATGCCCACTCTAAAAGAAAAACAGTTGTTGATCGAATTGCTCAGAATTGCTTCATTGTTAAGGCCCACATAATACATCACCAGTCACTCGAAAACGCAGTTGCAGTACGTGTGAGAGCGATGGATTGATCGATTCAGTTACATATAAACGCACGAGCTTTGACACTTTATGCTATTTATGGGTTTCGGTCTTCTTGTGAAGATCTGGTACGCAAGCCCGAAAAAGTCTCAGTAGTTTTAAAACTGGCGTTTAGATTTAAATTTTGACCCTTTTTTGTGTTCTGACCAAATATCCACCCCTTCACGCGCGTATGTAAATATTTATCACAAAGGTGATTCATTCTTATCATATACATGTATACAAGAAGAATGAATCACCTTTATCGTACCCACATGATAGATGGGGGATTTCCCTAGTATTTTTCTGCTGGTGAGTTCTTGGTGTATATATATATATACACACACACACACACACACACACACACACACACACACACAGATAGAGAATTTCTGCCGTAATTTTTAACAGGATAAGCACTTGATGTCGAATAATTCTATGAACTTAGATAAATGTTCGATCTATGCTACTGCATACTTACGTAACGATGATACACATTCCGCAGCTTTTTCTTGTATTTTCTGATTGAATGAAGCGCAACTGGAAAACGGACACCAACGTATCATAGGAAAATGTAACCAATAACTAGCACATGATAATATGCATAATGATTTAAAACTATAACACATGCAAAAAATAGAATATATACAGGGGCGGATCCAGGACTATATGAAGGGGAAGGGGTCTGCGGATGCGAAGCCGACCCCCCCCCCCCCCCCCCCCCGGTTGGCGTGGGGTTCGGGACCCGCTTATAATTAAGGGCCCCGAAAATTTTGGGCGTTTTAGAGGGCGAACGGTGCTATTTGGTAGGGTTTAGTACTATAAATCACCTAGTCAAAATTCTAATTCCAAGAGGGGAATATTTGTGTGATTTTTTTTCAGAAACCGAAGGGGGGAGGGATCAGGACCCCCCTGACCCCGCCCCCTAAATTTGCCACTGAAACATTACTTTTAAAATTCAGTCAAGAAAATGAAAACAAACGCTATACCATGTCCTTACCAGCTCTATTTAATGTTATCTTTGTAGTTGTGGGGGGCATTTGAATTAATTCTTTTGTTGTGGTTTTACCACCGCAAGGATTTACAAGACTACGGTAAAATGAATCTTCGTCAGGGCATTCATGGCTACTGTCGGTCAGAACGGACACAACCCCAAGTGAACATAAGACGATTGCGGCACCTAGATAAAACGTAATATTATAAACGCGTGTATGTATTAACATTTTTGAATTTGAAAAGTTTATTTAAAAATAAGTGTAAGATAGAATGATAAATTCATAATTGACTATATAACTGTGCAATGATCAGCAGTAAATTCATTCAAGATTGTATAATTCATTAATTAACAACTAATTGCGATTTTCCAAACAATAGCGTTTGAAATGCGGAGATTAAGGACCTGTAAAAAAAAAACTCACCTTCAATTTTCATTCTTCTTGTTTTAAATAACTTAAATCATCCTAACACAAGTTTTTATAATCTACTCAGGTTTACATAAGAAAAAACATATTCTCACCGAAATTCCCATTTTGTTTCCATCAGTTGGATCAGTGGGCGAAATGGAACGGTACAGATCTGTGTTACATTATACCCAGTATAGTGCGTGAAACTCAGGGGGATGTCTGTGAAACCCAGCAATGATGTCAGGGGAATACCGACTAAATCGTCACGATAATAGGTCACGAGTCGTCAGTGTCAACACAATTTGTATTTCACAGCACACAGCCTGACTGTTAGGGGATTTCCAAATAAAGCCAAGCTAGTCGTAGCGTATGAACATGACTAGTGAGCAAAAGGCGCTTGTCAGGATTTAGACGCTCAGGAATGACACTGCGCGATCAGGAAGAACAATTAAAAGCCCAGAGCTAAAATCGAGAGCGAAAACTGCGTAAGGTTTTGAAATAGTCTGTTATAGGTTTTTTAACCGCTTTCCTTCGAAGACAATACTACATAAGTTTTAAAATTACAAAGCTAGGGAAAAAACAAGCTGTGCACAAATATAGTGTTACGTACATTGAATGTCACTGAAGTTTTAGTGAAATAACGGGGAAAAACATTTTGGAAAATGACCGGTAAATTTATTTCATAGATGACGAAACACACACATGTGCGAAAGATTCGAAGTGATAATCTATTATAAATGTGTCCTTACTGATAGGGCCATACGGATATTTTCTTTTGTGTAGACCCATGTAAGCCTATTAATCTTATTGTCTTGAAAGAGGAAGGCATTTCTACAGAATTTACAGTAGAATTTTCTTCGGAACGGCTTCCGTTCACCTGACCTCCGATCTAAACAGAAACTAGAAAATAGATCATTTTGTTGATATTTCCTTCAGTAAAAAATACTCCAAATATGCATAATTCTGAGCTACCGAGTTTGTTGATCACCACTCCCATTCTGATTTATTTGTAAACCGCCATTATTTATAAATAAATAACAACGGTTCGTCACTTTTCAGTATCGCAAGAGTCATTTTGTAAGACTGATTTAATTTACGTATATGGCCAAATCTTAAAGCAATATTTACAGTATTTAATGTGTGTTTCACATATGATGAACGCCGGTTTCTTCATTGTAACACCTCCGCACAAATAAGGCCCCGAGCAGCAGGCATACATTTGATTGTGAAAAAAAAAAAGAAACTAACACGCATCGGATTTGAAAGTTAAATGTTTAGAAGAAATTTGAAATTAAATTTACTTTCAAGCTCCGATTTTCAATCTATTTCTTCAGATTTGGATGCGTAGGTGGGGGAACGCTAAGAAAATGCTGCCGGTTTATCAGAGTTTGCCCCCGCAAAACCTGAATGCAATTGCAGTTTACCAATATAATACTGTACTGTTGCTTTAAAAATAGCATGGCCTACAAATTGCTTTAAAAGATTTATATAATTTAATCTTTGCGATTTCATTGACTTTTGAAATTTGCTATAAAACACTGCTCTGTAAACAATCTCATCACAGACTAAGATTCTGGCTCAATAAATTTCACCCCAAATTCTGCAGAGCTCTAGTTTACTGCGAGGATTGGTTGAGGTGGGAAATGACGTGGAACATTTAGCAAGAATAGGGCAGGCCATGTGGTGCCGAAATGTTTTAAAGAACTCAAATAAAAACTAGACACAACAGATGGTCTTAGAATAACACCGACAAGAGCTGAACTGGGAAAACAAGGGCAAACTCAATCGAATACACATAAGTTTGGAAATTCTTTCAAAGAAGACATGTACAGAATAAGTTTTTGCGGCGCCTTGGTGGTTGGTTTGATAGCGTTAACACAGATTTTGGCAAAAGAAGGTAGGTTGACACCTTAGGAATAATTATATCTGAACGTTAAGATTGGTTTATTATTTTTCGATAGCATGGTTTACATGTAGAAACAGTTTTCACTCTTTCTTGGTTCTTTTGATCATTTGTTGCATCTTAGCACGCCGTTATCATCTTCCATCAATTAAGATTCCTACTATCATGTATGTACAGTTTTCACTCTTTAGTGACTCTTTTGATGATTTATACATTGCATGTGGGCTTATTTTGCGAAAACGGCCCATTTAACGGGTTTGAGATCATATTTGTTGTGATAGTCTTTTGGTTTATTGACTATTAAAACAGTTTTTTGTAAATTTTTATGTTAAACATTAACGATAACTAATAATTAGCTGCATCTTAGCATCTTCTCATCTCTGCATCTTCCATCAATTAAGATTATTACTACACTGTAAAAACAGTGTTTAGCATTTAAATACATGCAACACACGTTAGGCACCTATACGCATTTAGAAATCTGTGTAAATGCTAAACGCGTATAGCTTTTCAAACGTTTCACAGAAGAAAAAGCTAGACACGTTGGCATTGTTACACGATTAGCTATGTGTTAAGCTTCACCGGCATATGATTCTATAACAAGTCTATCACAAGCTAAGCACATTGGCTAAGCATTTCCCCTGCTAAGCGCGTGAGGCTGCTAAACATATGGAGCTGCTATAGGTGTGGAATTCCTTAACGCGTGGAGCTGCTAAACAACATGTTTAGCTTTTCAAGCTCGTCACAAAAAAAAAATGCTTCACAATCCCATATATACGATCCCATAACAAGTTTATTACAAGACTCAACAATTTTGCTTAACACTTCCCCTTGTAAACATATGGGGCTGTTGGAGGCGAGAAGCAGCCTGCTCGAACGCGTTGTGTCCTTCCTTGCAGTAACGTGTGATTATTTAAAATAGGCCCATTAAGTAATAATCCAAATAACAAATAACGTTTTCACGACGTTATCAGCTGGTTACATGATGGTGATGGTAACGTTATGGGTGTTTTTAACTCCATGCAAAATGATGCACTTGCAGTTTTATAAGCGTTTTATAACATTCTGGAAAAACATTATTTAATGTTTTGAAAACGTTTTTTATTAATCACCAAAGCACGTCTTATGCTGTATGAACTACAGTTAGCGGTTAATTCCAAAATGGGCTTGGGTTAGTCGGCGACTAGAGCGGTGCGATTTGAAAAATATTCCGACTATCGTTACCAAAATAACCAACATGTGACGAAAGCTTAAATAAACCATTATAATGAATACCCCACCATCATCCTGATGTTCTATTGTTCATTACTTCCGGAAAAAATAAATGAACATCAATACCTTAACGCATTTTATCAAAATATGAAAAAAATGTTTTAGAGTAAAAGTGATAGTTGTTTCGTGTCTTTAGTAAACTAGTGAATTTTCCTAACTTGTTTTTCAGAAATATATTCCAATTAACTTCCTCGCAAGGTCAGCTAACACAAGGATGAATAAGTCCTGCTGTAAAGATGATGGTGTGAATCAACTATGTTGACAGTTCACGGTACCCTGTTATAGATAGAGATATCTATAGCAGGTAAAGGTGACCGTGACTTCGCGCGCGCGTGCGTGTGTGTGTAATGACTGAAACAGTTGAAAACGTTACAACCTTAAAGTTAAACAAATACACCCTACATTTATTAGGCGTGAGGCACGTCAAAGCGTGTAACATGTTAATAGGCTAAACGTGTTTAGGTGCTAAACGCGTGGAAAAAATGAGGCAAAACAGGCGCTTAGAAATGTGTCTCGGAGCTAAACACTGTTTTTACAGTGTATTATATCGCTAGCTTTTGTATCATTTCATGATGTCTATTTTGTAAAAAAAATGCAAAATATCTTAAGACGTGTTTTGTGTTCAGAGTCAACATTGAAAAATGCCCTCAGTAACGTGAAAAAGTTAAACAATCTTTAGAATGGGGGTAACATTTTCCAGAATTTTCTCCTCGAAGTTTGTCCTCAAAAAAGTCAATATTTTCCAGAACTTCCTCCTTAAGGTAAAAAATAAGTAATGCCTCATGAAAACTGACTCTTTCTAATTAATACTTGGATTGCTGCAGTTTCTTACATAACCATCGAGTAAAAATATACAAGTTGCACCAAAATGTGACGGGTAAGGAAAGGACAGACCGGCCAAAGTCAACGCGTGCAGTCGGATGTAATAGAAACAATGTATGATACACCAGATTATTTCACCACCCTCTCGTGATTCATGTGCCCGAGCCCTTTTTCTTCGACCGTAGAACATACTCAGTTCCGGCCAGTGACTATTTGTCACAACTTTTTCCGTGTTTTTTCCTAGTATGCTCTTGACGTTTGCAACTATTCTTAAAGATTTTATTTAGTATTCAGCGGTCAGTGTTGCCTGTCCCCAGACTTCCCGATTTAATGTGTGGTCAGCGTCATTTACAATGAGATTAATTAGGTCTATAAAATTTCCATTTTTTTTTCTCGGAAAAAGAAAAACGTCTGTCTGAATGCGAGGAGAAAGAACCCATATTTGAATAATGTACTCATTATCATGGTAGTGATGAGAATACAACGTAGATGTAACTTGTATCTTAGCAAAAACTCGGCATGTGGCAATAACATAACACTAACGAGAGCTTAACCCGAAATATTTTGTTAGAAACCATCTGCAATTTTTTTTGTCTTTGTGTGAGCGCCTGTGCCAACAGCTATAACACTAGGAAGTACAGAATAACAGACTGCCTATTCATCAAATAAACAGAGCAAAAGGCAAAACATAAATCGTAAAAACAGACAAGGCAAGATGTAGGGAAATTGTGTTGTAACGCACGTTTACAATACTTGAACCAATGCATGAAAAATGACACCGCTTGAACGCTTGAAAATTTGAATATATATTTTCCATATGTATGACAATAACTTATTTTCATTGTGACTATTGTGAAAATGATGACGATTAAAGAAGACCATTAACAATGGTCTCAAGAAAGCAAATGTCACATATGATACCCAATTTTCGCTACGTAAAACGACTGTCACACTACAGCACGGCTTCAGGAAGGGATGAATAAATCTCATATCTAACGGTCGGTTCAAAGATGCCACCAGAAATTAATATGAAGAAAAAAAATTTAAAGACCATCTTCCCATATATATTTATTCATGCAGTCATTAGTCCACCTATCTGCTTCTTCATATTTTTTTCATTTATTTGTTCCCTTGTCACATATACTATAAATTCCTAGTGCATCTAGGCAACAACTGATTCCAATTTCATAATTAATGTTTATTTCTAATATTCTAGATCTCCCAGACAACAAAGGACGCGAGTTTATCATCATCTTCCAGGAGAACAGTATAAAACGCCGCGGCCGTACCTCAGAGGAGCTTCAGCTGTTCCTCACCACAGACTACGAGAAGGACGTCTCCGTCAATATCAGCACCCCGTTAGTGCCGCGATCTCAAGTTAAACGGGTTGGTATTACAAAATAATGGCTGTATGTATACATTTTGACGTTTGAGTGACAATAATTTTACAACAAGTTTGGCAGATATCGAGTCGAGTCGAGGGCGTCAGCCGACGCCAACACGGGAAGCACTGATTGTTTCCCGCCACTCCTTCCGGTGCTCCATCAGTGTTTGCACTACGTCGTATATCTCATTCATTATCAGATATAAATTGATTTTATTTTTTTTGTGAAGTTAAATCCTTCAACTCATTAGATAGGCGAGAACATACCATCTACATCTATGCCTAAAGTATTCCACATTTTTACTCTAAGGTCAGACAGAATGATTACTGGTTAATCTCATATCTGGCGACCCTCTGTAAACAGGGTATAGGCTGACATAATTTATTTTTATGTTTTTTTTCAAAACTTATGATGTTTAACGAGCATACAGCTAAATGTTAGGGTCAGTTTTTTGAGTAGGAAAATTTAAAAAATGAAGCCGAACGTCAGTTGCAATTTTTTTATCATTTACCAAACCAATACTGAATGCATTTTCTTCCATTTAAAAAAATAGGTGCGAAAAAAAATCTGATTTCTTTAAAATAAAGGTCGGTCGTACTCGTGTACTAATTTATTGAATTTATCTGGCCTATATTACAAGGGAACCTTAGTCCGACTTCACTTAAGTTTCGATTCCATAGATTTTATTTCTCATTCAGGTACATGTACAACGAGGTAGCATGACGGAGGTGAGCCTCTCGGCAAATATTCAATTAGAAGGCACGAAAAAAGAGAACAAAGGCATCTTGATAACAGCAGAAGAAGAAATCGTTGTTTATGGTGCTAACATACTCAGTATGAGTACGGATGCTTTCATATGCCTACCTACAGACATTCTTGGGACAACTCACTTCATCCCATCGTGGCCAAAGGAGTCCAAATACGTGGGATCGCAAATAGGTAATGCCATTGTTTTTCGTTAGTCTGTTTCTTTCCCTGATTAGTCTGTTTTCTTATTGCGCGATATCATTAACATGTTTTAAGTCATCATAGCGAGTCAGATCTGATCGTAATTCTGTAACAGTATTCCTTAGGGGTCAGCCATTCTTTTATCCAAGATAAAGTTTTTTTAAAGAGTAGACTTTTTTCCAGACCCCCTCTACCCCTACTCCTCTTCAGAGAGAACAAGGTAAAAAACTAAAAATGCCAGAGCTCCCCTGGGGGTGAAGATCATCATTTAAAAGCATACAAAGAGCATGCTCCCTCCCAGCGCACGGTTTGTAAACTCGTGAAAATGGTGATAAAATGGATGATCCCTTAATGCCCAACGTTGTACCGTTTTAGGAGTTGTGGCGACCCAAGACAACACCATGGTGAATTTCACATTCCCTAACGACGGGCGAAATGTCAATGTGTCTTACAGGAGCAGGTGGTACGGGGACGGTGAGACACTCAGCGTTCTGTTGAACAGGTACCAGACCATGCAGGTCCAGAATGAAGTGGACTTAACAGGAACTAAGGTGGTGTCGAATAAACCTATTGCAGTAATGTCAGGAAACAAACGGACCAGCGTTGGTGGTGGGCGCGGCACGGATCACCTCGTGGAGGCCATACCGCCTGTGAATACGTGGGGAAAACGCTTCGTCACTGTGCCGACGGCGGAGGACAGGGAAGGCGATTTCTTTCGAGTTTTAGGTATGGCAAAGTTAAATGTATTTGATTTTTGTACTTTAGAAACCCTTTAGAAACCCCCATATTTTTGCTATTTAATTTTTTTCTTTTTTCCATTGTTTGTTCACTTTCTGCTTTAGATTTTAGGCCTTTAGATATGATTAACTTTAAATAAAACAAATGAAAATTAATTGGATTTTCTGTCGCTTCAAGTATGTAGGTGTTCTGTCGGCAAACATGTTTTATATTATTCTTCAATCTTTAGGCGGCAAAGCTGGAACAGAAGTCACAGTTCGGGCCACTGTGAATTCGACCATCACGAAATATCAATTGAACGCTGGCCAGTTTCTTACGTTAGATGTTCCTTCTGAAGAGTACCTATATATAGAAAGCAACCAATCCATTTTGATAACCCAGTTTTGCAAGACATGTAAGTAGTAAATTCCACGGAGAACTTGTCTGTAAAAATACAATACAACTGAGTTTGAACCAAAATGACCATCTGTGAAAAATCTATCAGTCGCCCTGGTAGAGGGTAGTCATGGCCCGGATGCCCAGTAAGGGTTGGCGAAAACAAATTTAATAGCGGTTGATTATCCGTCAAATTAAACATCCCTCGGTCACACTTATCGATTAAAAATTAAAAATTAAAGAGACGGTTTAGATTTCAATCAGAAACAGATCAGTCACACTTTTTGTTTTGTTTTGTGTACAGCAAAACGGTCTGTGAAGAAGGATCCGTTCATGATGTACATACCGCCCATCGAGCAGTTCGCCTCTGACTACACCTTTGCAACTGTGCCTGCCGGCTATTACCCTTTCACTAACTTTGTGGGGGTGGTCATCAAAACGACCGAAATCAGCGGTCTGAGACTGGACAATCAGACAATACCTATTGACCAATGGGACAGAGAATGGCAGGTGATAGCTAATACAGAGTACTCGGCAAATATCTTAAAAGTCACCAAGGGCACTCACTTGCTACGCCATCTGTCCCCTATTGTCTCCTTCGCAGCCTTTATGTACGGGTTTGGGTCTCAGGAGTCCTATGGATACCCGGCAGGGATGCGGCTTGCAAGCATAGGTGAGCACTGCCACCCAAGCCAGAGCCCGCCTGGTCCTGACGGCAAAGACAACGATTGTGATGGAAGGATTGACGAAGAACTAGCCAATGGAGTTGATGATGACGGTGATAGTTTAGTAGACGAGGACCTGGCGACAGTGATCAGTGAAACGCCGACTACGACGGTCACAACGACGATAAAAACGCACAAGGAAAATGACTCCGTTTCAGCTGAAGATATGTTAAAGACTACGAAAGATGAAAAAGAAGGGTGGTTACACATTAATTTCAAAGACAAAGACATTGAAACAAAAGAGATGTCCAACTTTTCATTTCAAAAGATAGCTTGGACAAAAGAGAAAATGAAGGTTATTCTTGGTACAACCTTGCCCATTGTACTTCTCATTATCGCGGCTATCGTTGTAACCCTTATCCTATTGTACCGCCACAAACGCAGAGAAGCAGTTGTCGATTTGGAAGCCACTTTGATACAGAAGACAAACCAGAGAGACAATGCGGTGGGTACGCCAGATGGCGCTATGAACTCTTCATTGCCAACATAAACCCTTTTTGCTATGTATATGAAATAGAAACTGAAGAAATAAAAAAATGAATGTTTTGGTTTAAGACAAGCTAAAGGGAGTGTGTAACAGGAAACATTACTGGGAAACCAGGCAATCGTAGTGGACGCACATTAATTGTAAAAGATTAATGTAAATAATGGCTATATCTCATGACCTGTGTATGGTTTCCTTTCACCTATCTTAAGGGAGATAAAAATCTGGCAGTTAATTTTATTTAATTTAGAAATTATGTGTCTAAAAAGGAAACCTGTCTGGGAAAAATTTATATGATAAATTTTCAGCATTGAGGTTTCCGCTGAGTCATTGTTGGTTTCCCCATAAATCAAATGTGTACATAATTTTTATTCTTATAATAATAAATATAAGTAGTGTATTTTATGTACATCTTTGTTTTTTTAATTCTGCCATTCTTTGTTATTGTTATGTTAAGCTTTGTTTTTGTGGCGTTTGCTTTAAACTGGAGACAGGTCAAACTTACGTCTTACCGCAACCAGACTGCATAAAGAGATCGGGGGTTCTCTCTCTCTCTCTCTCATCTAGTTGTCTTTTGGCGCATGATTTCTGCAACTTGTAATTTTATTAATATGATATTGATAAAATAAAAGAGTGTTCAGGTTGTACATGTATAAAAAGAAATGGAATTATGATGCTGAATTTGGCTGTGTTTAAAAGCGGAAATTTCCTTGAGCCGGTGGACATCAAGCTAATCGAGTCCTCAAAAGGACGGTAGACTTAAATCGACTTGAGGACAGGACTGTTTTCTGCGGTAGGGGAGACCGGACTATTTGGCCCAGTTAGTACACCTTTGGCCTTCTAGAACCAACCGAGAATAAGATGGAGGAACAAATACGGGTTATAGAACAAGCGACAAGGACATAGCTACTGATGCAACGGGCTTGTTTGGTTCACGTAATGCCACATGGCTCATGTAAATGTAATGCCTGATGGGTCTGACAAAAACAAACCTGATGTCAGGTGGGCCAACTTGCCTCGTCGCTTACTTGGCATTGTCGGATATGGTCCCTTTATGTGAGATTATGTGATCAAACATTTTTTTACCTCTTAGGTACTTTTTCATAAATTGACGAGGGGCCAACTTACCCCGGGGTAAAACTAGCCCTTGTCTCCGCTATTGGCAGGGTGCCAACTAAATGCCCTGTATTTGATCTGAAAACTGCACAAGATAGGCATGGCGATCCATGTCAGCCAACCTGCTGAGAGTGAATGGCACCCAATGATGATGTCATGCGATACGTTACGTCAACGCAGTATGAACATTATGTCGTCACAGATCAAATGTGGTCAAACATTGTCATAGCAACATGATGAAGCGATTTTTTTCGTTAATCAAAATTGATTTTAGAGATAACCATAATCTATATGGATAAAGCTATTTTAAATAACCGTTTGCGAAAGTTAATCGCGAAGTACGACGTTGAACGCATTGTTCCGGAGTGCTTGAATTGGAGTTGCGAGGACGTAGCTGACTGGATAGAAAAACTTGGATTTCCTTTATATAAGGTAGGACCTTTATAATAGCACTGTGTCCTTCTGCATGATAGGTTTTGGGCACTTTTTTCAAAAAATCTATAAAAACCAAAAACGTTTCCATGCTGGTTACTGCCAAAACTCTTACTTTAAGATCATTGCATGATATAATCCAACAAATAGGGCCTAGATGCTTGGTGTACCCTATGATTTAACTAGTTAATAGTCATAAATGCATGATTAAAAAAAATTATGAATGGACAAAAAGTTAAATTAATCGTGGTGCAGGCTTGGAACTATGAGTCATGTACATGTACGTTGCTCATTGCTTGGAATAAGTGTGTAAGTGCATAACTGACAATGCTGCTTTTATTCATATTTATTTCAATGTTTTATAACATTCAACGCCACGTGCTATTCAAACAATTTTGAATGCGTTTCAATAGAAGTTTTAACTAAAATCCTACTTCAAATTTTCCAAATATTTTTCGGTCACGATTTATAATTCTTGATTTCCCAATAGGAATGCTTCCTTCTCAATGTAATCAACGGACGACGCCTGATTCTTCTCGATATCCAAACATTACCGAAAATTGGCATTGTAGATTTTGAGCATATGAAGGTATGGCATGTGATGTGACATTATTGTAGAAGTTACCAAAATACTGAAATGTAAAAACTTTGAAAGTAACCAAGGTGTGCTTAATTCTCCTAAAAATATTTTGTATGAAGATATGCCGAGCATCCTCTCTTGCAGACTGAAACAACGTCACCCTCTGCCAAATCGTGAAATAAAAATTGATATCTACTACAATGCATGGTAGGTAAGGGACAAAAGTGTACATAAGTAAGTGTACATAAACTATACCGAGCGACGCTGGGCGCAAAAATAACATGCCTGTGCCATCTGCCCAGAGTCAGCCGGGACCCACCCGTACAGGACCTAAGTGAATCTTTTTTCTATGTCCATTGTGGATTATCCCCAGTAAAGATTAATGTTTTAATCAGGCATCCTCTCTACAGGTAATCACCAGTGCAATCCGTCGTTTACTGGGGCTAGAGGAACCCTACTGGGACCGCTGTATTATGCTGTTTCGCCGTGAGCCCCTCGCACTTTGGCTGGAGCAGAAACAGTTTACAGGAGAAAAATATGAAGACCTGACAATCCACGAGTTCTTCTTGCAGAATCCCGATCTTTTCCATGAATGGCTACTACTTTATGAACCAAAATTAAAAGACGATTAGGTTTTTATGAATGAGACTGTGGAAATAAAATTGAGTTGAAGTATGGAGATGAGAAAAATTGTTTAAAAATTTCATATTAAATGCGTGTTTTAACATTACCCATTCAGAATAAACCCCTAATTTTACTCATAATTGTTGGTCTCTTTCTAATCCAAACCGATATAACTTCACCTAAAACATGTCAAGAAATTATACCTAAATTGTGTTTAATAAAAATGCTTTCAACACAATAGTTGACTTGGAATGTTATTGCAAAACAAGTACACACGCCTTTTACATTTGTACAGAAGCCAAATGAAATCTACATTGTGCACCGCATACAGCCGCAACAAACCAATAAATGCACTGAATATGCGACATGGAATATTATGTAAACCTAGTGTCATAAAGTTATTAGTTACGTCTATACAGCTCTCCACTCAAGTTTCATTGTTGTCATATTCTGAACAATTGACACACCATTAGAAAATGTACAAGGCCAGTAAGACCATAAACTAAACGATCGATTTGTGCATTAAAATAGAGCTGCGTCTATTGTATTTGGTTGAAGCCCGTGAGGTGTATGATCTGTGTCAACACAACCACGTATATCAACTACTGACAACAAAGTAGGGGCATAGAAACAGAGCAGACTGGGAGAAGGAATGGGACGCGGATGCTGTTAATTGGAATTTAGGAAAATCTTCACTATTTCCCGTTACGACAAGAAGAAAGTAAGTGGTTTTTCCGCTAATATTTCCTTATTTTTTCATGTTGACTGTGATTTCGTGATTTTCGAACTGTATTTTTCTTTTATTTGATACACTGTGTACGAGATTCGCGAATCGATTTTAGTATCATTTTCAGGTAGCAACTTAAGATGTCTCAGCGTTATTGATCCTCTTTTTCACTGCTTATAAATTATTAAAATACTTACAAAAAGATATATCAAATTTCTACTCGCTAAAGGGATTGGGGGCTATGATTACCTTAATATTCAATGATTTTGAGGTCCCACGTTAAAGCTCGAGGTTTAATTTTTTCAGTCATGGCAGGGCTTTTGGGCAAACTAGCGGCCCTTAGTCGAGAGCCACAGGCACCGGCATCTAACACCGAAGAATCATCAAGGAGGGAATCCGTCGCGGACTCTGATGGCGGGAGCGACTCGGGGAATAGAGGACTGTTGTTGCTGAGACGCAAAATGTCACGCTGGAAGGCTTCAAAGGGGGGAGCCGCGTCTGGTAGAGGGAGCTTGTTCAAATCTATCCCCGAGGTAGCAAAAATGGAGAACACATACAAAATGGAACCAGACGATGGAACAAAATTTTTGGCCGGACCAACACGAAAAATAATCGAAGATGTTCTAACCACTTATCTTCGCGATCTTGATTATGACCCAAAAGTTTGCGCTCGCATGTGCCAGAAAATGAGCGATGAGATTAAAAAGCGGACTAAGCGCCAGCCGTTTCATAGATACAAGTTTGTCTGTTTCGTGGTGGTTGGTCAGAAGAAAGATCAATCTTTTGAATATGCGAGTAGATGCTTGTGGGACGACAAAAAAGACAACTACGCAACCTGCACGTTTCAAAATAAGACTATCTTTGCCACGGCGACCGTATATGGCGTCTACTTCGAATGAAAAAAGGTGTTAAGAAAGCGCTGGGGGTACAACAGGGAATCTGGTTCCAAAAAAAATGACCCACCCGAAAGTATAGACGCAACTTCAGAAAACTTAAATCCGTAGGACGCTATGTAAACATGAAAGGCCAACTTCTCTCTTTGTATATTTGACATTAGACTTAGTAAGAAATTGGATAAGAGAGATAATTCCACAAGACTGTGCCAGCGTCTTTTGTAATCTGTGTGGAGTAACAGACCCGTATTTGCATCAAGTACCATAGCGACTGCAGCTCATCGTGTTCTTACATAGAAGGAATGTTGAACAGAAGGTGTAATGTTCCGAAAAAAGTATATTGTGTTTAAGATCTGAAAGAGGGCCATTAGGTCTAATGTAAATAAACGAATCCGTTTATACAGTAAGTGAGCAAATACTGTTTTACAACACGTGTACTCGAGTTTCATATTTACGAACACGCGGAACCGGTCGATATAAGAATGCGCAATGAAACCAGTTTTCAATTAAGCGTAATTTTAGGGATAACATACCAAAATGCTTTACCTAGTACGAAGTTTCACCAATAATCACGTGCGTTATCAAACCACGAACCACATTAAGTGTTTTAATATCCTAGTTGAGCAAACGTGGGATAGGACTCGGGTAAAATTACCACATATTTCGGTGTCTAGATTTCGCATCTGTCCGAAGTCAGAAGCTCGTGGGAACGATTTGTCATTGCTACCAGAATTTCACTGTCTACACCGTATGTTCCTGGTTTCGCTCTGACAAGAGCATACGTGAACGAATATATAGATGAAGATTGGAAAATGGCAACGAAACTTGGAGCAAACAAGATGCTGCATCACTGCATCGTCAGAGTAAAAAAGAATAAATAGAAAAATAAATAATGATACAAATAACAATACCCAAAACTTAATTTAAACTTTATATCTAGTTCGCCGACCACTTTTATACATACGATGTTAACCTCATTGTTGTATACACAACATTCATAAATAATGTACAACATATTAATCTTAACACATATAAAAGATTTGCAAGAATACAATTACAGCAATTTGCCTGTATGTTTATACACGACTGACATCTTTCCTTTCCATGTTCTAGTCAAAGGAGTTAGTATATAGGAAAGATGCGGTAAAGCTAGACACTGTTGCTTACTCTAAACTTATGTGCACTATTTAAGGCAAGGTGTAGACTGGGGAGATTAAGACTACTTTCCATTGCTCATCGCGTTACCCACATATGTTCCGTTGTTATTCTTACGCGGCTCTTTTCTTCGTAGACGACTGAGAGCCTCATGAAGACTTGGAAAAATTGCAGGAAGGGCAAATAAATGTTAGTGCTAAAAAATCTACTTCGAAAACAGCGTTGTTAAATAGGTCCTTGTCACAAAACGTCGGTTAATTACAAAACATCATGTAAATCTAAAAGAAATGATGACAGTTTTGGTAATTTCACCCAGCTGTTTGGCCTAGGATCGTAACTAATTGGGATACAGTAATGCAGATTTGTCCAATATGTTAGAAAATTGAGCGCACAACTCCAAGCAAAATCCATAAAATATGTATGGCATCTCACTGGTACTGTAAAGCCATTCATTACACACAGTTCACATGAAAAGAAAACTTATTTCAAGTTCAAAGTCAGTTGTCATGGCTACTGTCAACAAATTGTCTTCTTCAGGACACTGCCACATTAACTTAACATATCATTAAACCCGATATACTTATCATAACCTATTCTTCAACAACAGGATTGTTATTATCGAGGTTAGTACATCAAAATTATGTATCATATTATCTTAAAGCACTTTTACATTAAAGATAGGTTGATCCCTCTCAGTAGGCTGTCAGAAGAAGCTAGGCTAAACACAGACAGCACTTGTCATCTCTACTCTGAATTTATCGAATGCCACAATGGGGATGATACAAATGTTATCAGACAGCCCACAGAAATGGATTGTACCTACAAAGGTCAACCTATCTGCAATATGAATACACCTTTACAATAAGCAAAATGTATACATGTATCAATATCCACCTTTTCATAATTGGCAAATAATACATACATGTGTGGGGTGCATTGTAGCACCAATAAAACTAACACTGCTGTCAAAATAGGCAGAGCATCAACTCAGTGAGAATAATGAAATGCTCCCAATCCATTCCTAGCGGAACACCATTTTGATTATTCTTTCTATTTAAATCTTGGTTGACAAACAGATATTTAACTTTTTGGTCCATCAACTAAGGAGAGGTAGCTGGAATAGATGTCTCCCAATTCTTTTTTTCCATTCATCAGTATTAAATATCTCTAGTAGCTTGTGGAAATGAGAGATAACTTTCCATCTTTTTTATGATTCCTCCTTAACCAAATCAGCCCAGCAAAAGGAAAGGCCTTGAGTTCTATCTCCATACATATTCCCCGGCACCCACTTTTTACTATCATTATATAAAAGCATAATTGGTCTAAACTTTGGATTATCTTGTGTAGTATACTCTATAGTATAATGTCTTAGATCTCCATAGTGAGTAGGAATTGTCAAATTTTAATAAGTAAACCCCCCTCCCTGGGTACATGTGGCTTCCACAGTACACTTCCTCGTGTGAGTCTCTACGATATACAGGTATTATTTCATCGGTGGGGGGCCAATTCTCCTCCTTCTTGCCCTTCTCAACATCATCACCTTTAGGTTCTGGAAAAGATGGAGAAGAACAACTTTTCAGGAACATGAATATTTTCACAAACACAAATAGTCATGTTGATTTCACTTAATAATGAAAAAAGCTTTTTTCTGTGCTGACAAACTATGGCATATCAATGTTTTTCCAAATTCAGCATTTATGTGAGAAAATATCAGAATGTTTCCAATAGAATATAGTTTTGTGTATGTTTTGAAGACACAGAAAAAATTACATCTAAAAACTGGTCAATATCTATGACTTTTATAATTTCACATTACTAAAAAATTATTCTTATCTTTTGTCAAACTAATTTATCAAACTCAGGCCTTATAAATGGATTAGGTATTGTTTTCTAACACAAGCCTTAGATTTGTGAGCACAAATGCCCAAATTAATGACTTCAGCCATGAATGATCTATCTCAAAAAAATAGATATACTTGTCACAAGCACAACATTTCATCACACAAACCATTTATCTACTTATCTACCTCTTTAGTACATTCTGTATGAGCAGGAGATTGTTGAGAATGCATTGCCTCCGTATATAAAAAGAAGCCGTATGGAAGCTGGTCAAATTGTGGTTGCTATGAAACACTAAGCTTGTGGCTAGTAATTCTATGTTGGGGTAGTTAATTTCTAGGCTGGAGTTGTTAATTTGTGCATTTGTGCTCCAAAATCTGAGGCTCGTGTTAGAAAAAAAAGCAATTATCATTTATGAGGCCTGAAACTGAAACATTTTGTTTACCTCCTGTCTCTTCTTCCTCCTCTTCATCTTCACTAGAATCACTGACATGTACACTAACATTACTATTGGGGGGCACTGTCCATTCAAAATATACTCCAAATCCTATGTCATAGTAGTCAGTGGCAAATTCCCAGAATAAACAAGTGCCTTCTTCATGTGTTGGGACACGTACCTAAAATACAGGAAGAGAAGCAATTACCCTAGCTTAAAAACAAAATGTATAGAGAAAAGTGTATTATTCATTAAACTTGAAAATAAACTTCAGTTGATATTTTGCAAATAAAGTGTGATAGTGACAGAATAGTAAAAAATAAAACATGTTATCTGTACACATTTGCCTAAATAACAAATTCAACTACAATTTAAAGACTTTGTTGCAGGGTTTAATTCATCAACTGACCAAGTGTAAACAAACATAACTGAATGAACATCTTCTACAGATATCAGAGGACTGTTATGTCATAAAATAACACATCATCAGTGGGTCTATAAAGTCACAATGCTACTGGCAATACTACATGCTTTTTATCACTTGCAAAAATATATATATGAAGGACACTAAAAAGAGTCCACTCAAAAGAAAGATATACGAACAAAAAGTTTAAGTGTTCATCAGAAAAATCTGATATAATCAAGTAAGATTTGATGGGATTTGGAGGAGCTTGGGGTTGGAAATAATTGCAGACTAGCAGGTGCTGCCAAGCAATGAATGAAAGGTGAGAGAATTTATCTACAGGTATTTTCCTGGTAGTTTTCTCTTAAGTTCTGTAAAATTACAAAACATGAGAGAAATTACAAATTCTATAAAAATACAACAGAGAGTTTTCACCAAATTTTACATTCAAAGTTTGTATTGCCTTCTAAAACGATATCCCCAGCATATAAGAATTTCACCATGATTTCCTAATGGTTACCCCACCTCATGTGGATTCTCACTTATTTCCTAGCGACTGACCAGCAATCTCCCGTCTAAATCACCCTCACTTCCACAAAGCAACTTTGCACTTTGAATATAGCCTGCCCCATTTTAATACCTTTGTAACTGCTGATGGTAAAAATCAAAACAATCATTACTTGCTCTAATCAGCCACCAGAAAGATTGAAAGTTTCTTGTGGGAAGGAACTCAGTAAACTACAGATCCATTTGCTAAAAGGTTTTTTTTTTTACTTACGCTATTGTGAGATACAGAACCCCAATTTTATGTAAACCCATGCTTAAATGGCCAAAAACTGCCTTAGTAATGATTGAGAACAGATTGAGGGGGTTTGAAGGAAAGTGCCTCAGGAAAATACTGGGTATCAGATGGCTGGATGAAATCAGCAACCAAAATGTTCTGGAAAGAAAACAGGTAAAGGACATCAACCTTGAAATGAAAAGGAGGGGATGGAGGTATCTGGGCCATGCTTTCAAGACAGAGGAGGACAGGCTGTAAAATGGGCACCACCTGCAAAGACAAAACATGGCAGGCCCAAAGGAACTGGTAAAACCATCCAGGCAGAAATGAAGACAACAGAGCTAGCGTTGAACACCACAGGCACAGCAGCTCAAGAGAGAGATAACTGGAGGTCCCTTGTGATTGTCATATGTGAACACATTAATGAAGAAGATTTAGTAAGTATTACTTACTGTAACTGTTTCTCCAGATCCAACTTTTATCACAGACTCAGTATCTTTACTTATGGAATCCTTGAACTCTTTTACATCTTTTCTAGTCCACATGGAAGGTGCAGCAATAGGTGGAAGGTTATCTACAAGACAACATCAGAAAGTATATACCATGGTTAAAACATGCTACCACACAGCATGCCTTTATAATATTAACTATTTTTAAACAGTTCATTTGTAATGATATTTGGACGTATGATCACAAATACAAATAGATAATTTTCCAAGTGTTTTGTGTTAATTTTTCTTGTGTAGTGTGATGTAAAAGTATTTTGCAGAGTTTAACTCATTTTAGTATCTTCAATTAACAAATCATTTAACATTAAGATATGGCAAGCAAATTGCATTTTATAAACCTTTCTTTGTTCCATCCTCTTCATCTTCTGCATCCCCCTTTGTACCATTTCCAACATGATTTCCAACAGCATTAGGAACACCATCAACTTTGGTTGGTGCAGCAGTAGCATCAGACTGGCCTTCTTTCAGTGTGTTATTTGACATGGCTTGCAGCTGTTGTTGCTGCTGTTGTTGATGTAAAAGCTGTTGTTGGTACACCTGCTGCATGTACTGTTGGAAATGCTGTTCTTGAAGTTGAGCTATTAACTGATCTTGCTAAAATATAACAGTGGAGTAATGAGAGGACTGATGAATTTTTATGTATATATAATTTTATATATTTACAATTATAGTATTCAGTTATTACCAGACGATTCTGCATAGAGGACATAAAATATAAACCAAATTTATAACGAGACAGCCGGATTTGCATAACAGTATCAGTTTTTTTTCTGCAAATACACTCATAGAATAGGATACCTCCTATCACAGCACTATTTCCAGGAAACATGCAGAGCATCTTACCAACTCTTTGTTCCCAGGATACTGTTGCTCTGCATACTGGCGGAACTGAATGGCTGTCTGCTGGTTCAGTGCTGCACGAATCTGCATTCTGTTAATGATGAAGATAAAATATCATATGCGTAGAAGAAAAAATTCACAGTTAGATTTACAGTGTAGTATTTGCAGTTGTATACCACAATGTCTGTCTTTTTGTAAAGAAAACACAAACCCACAGACATATGTATGTACAACAGTTATAAATCTTAGGTATAACCAAGTGAATATATGTCAATAAAAACTGATTAAAAACAATCTAAACAACTGAACAGACTGAACAGCTGAACAATCAAAATATTTTTTTTTATTGTTTTGCTTTGGAGCAGGAAAGGACAACTAAGAAAACTGAAACAAGTATCTTCTTGTTGAACAAGATTCATAACAGAACAAATTTCATAACAGTGTGAAAACAAATCCTGATGATCAGGACCAAAGAAGTCCACTCACTCTTGCTGATATTGTCTTTGTTTTTCCACCTCTTGTCTTTGCCTTGCTACCTCCTCTTCCTGTTTTAACCTGTTCTTTTCTTCCTCTTCCTTCTGTAGTCTTTCATTTTCTTCTTGTCTACAATACAAAAACATCTTTCATTTTCTTCTTGTCTACAATACAAAAACACACTCTTAATATTTCCATGACACAACAGTGGAAAATATTTCACTGCAGGTCATTTATTAGGCATTTCATTTCTCTATCAGATTCCTTAAAAATCCTTTAAAATTATCCAAGGAAGCAAAATTAATGTCTGAACAGATACTAAACCAAATGAGAAAGATCTCATTACATTCAAGGATGCCAGACATCCTAAAGAAATTAACTTCATCAGATCTAAGACAATATAAGTTGGATACTTCCCCCCTCCCCCAACACACTCATACCTTTTCCTTTCTTTTTCCTCCTCCTCTGCCTTATGTGCCTTGATATACGGCCTCAGTGGAGGACATACGGAGTCCAGTAAAAGGACAAACTCTGTCATTGCACTCTCTTTGGGTAGGTCTCCTAATGCTTGCCATGCTTGCCTGAAATATAAATGAAAGCACTGAATAGCCATCTCTTTACTGTTTCTAAACACTAAGGTATCACCCATGTTAAACATGCAATTCAATACAATATTATGTACAGGGGAGGGACCAGAAACTATCGGTACTAATAAAAGAGACATCTCTATTCCTACTCCATCAATATCCACCAAATCTTCAATTTTCGAACATTTTATGCAAAATGTATTCTTTTGATGCAAACAGGAGGAAAGCACCCAGAATGAGAGAAAAAATTATCGGAATTTTGTGTTAAGTAAATGATGCAAATAATAAGCACAGTGAAATTTACTTTAGGCTATGGGCAAGCTTAAAAAAAGAAAAAAAAAGATTTTCTGTCATTAATACCAACTTCTTTCTTACACAATCCAAAACAATGGATGCTTTTTGAGCCCCTGGAGAACTAATCATGTTTGTTTTGTTGCAAAACAATACAATTTCTGTCTGTCTGATAAAACAGTCTGAAAATTGCAAATTGCTTAGAATGAAATGTTATTAATGCTGTTTATATGTTTCTTTAGTACCATGCTTTTGAAGATAAATATATTGATTCAATAATGATGATGATGGTGAAACTATTTTCTATACTGTTGTCAGCATAACTTATTATGACTTTTAATTTGAATAAACTTATTGAGTCTTAGCAATACAGGAGCTGCTTGTATGTGATGTTAAATTCCCAAGGTTAAGTTACAAGTTCAGCAAAATTATTTCAATAAACATGTACTGTTTCACAACTGATGACAAAATCAAGTTATTTGGAAATTAAATCTAACAAGTTTATTCATAGAAGACACAAAAATACACAATGTAGTATCAAACAACACATAATATTATCTTGGACAACAATGACCTAATAAGCCAATCATAGAGTATAAAGATCATGCTGTGTGATGTATATTTCATAGTGAAGGGGACTAACATATACCTCAGCACATTACACAATAACAGGTTTGCAAATAAGACATGATACCAGGGAATAAGTGATGGACAAAAGAGAAAATAAATGGGATTATTTAAAATTCAGCTGAACAAGGGTATATGAAATTTAAAGAATATAGATAAATCTGTCCTCACATATACTGAGCCCATCTTTCTAAAAAAGGAAAATGAACATTGTCCAATTCCAAAGGCACCTTATTTAATTAAAAACTAAATTAAAAAATATAGAGGATGAAAAGAAAATGAATAGAATCAAAATGAGGTGTCCATTACTCACCAAATGCAAGGGTCAATGCTGCATACAAAGAAACAAAAGGCAAAATCAACAAGAAAGACTTGTGAAAAAAAAGATAAAAAGAAAAGAAAAAGACATGAAGGGTAATGGGCCTACAGTGCATACACACATACTCTCTTGCTGCATTACACTTTCTAAGCAGGATCGGCAATTTCTAGACTTATTTTCTGAAGATATTAACAAGTCATTTTCTGAGATGGGATTGGTTGGATGGTGGTGGACAGTATTATCTGATGTAGTAGAGATGAATGGATATGATTGCTGCTTTAGCACAGAAGTAAAACCAATTACTGAAAAAAGACGAAATTACAAGTAATTTGGACGAACACTGTATGGTCTATGCACATGCAGATTTGACCATCTCATAATGATAATTTTAGTAAGGTTACAAACACCTCTGAGAAAACAGCAAAAAACTGTATACATCAGCCACATCATGTCAAGCCAAATGCAACAGACCTCAACCCCAGAAAAAAAAAAAAAAAGAATTTAAGAAATTTGCTTAAAGCAAAAACGATTATTTCGAAAACTGCATTTTGAGAGATAAACCCAATGGCATATTTCTTGAGTCAGAAAGGTCCTCTCAGGACAAACCATCTTACATTCCATGCCCTGAAATGTCTGCAATGTTGTTAAACCAGTATATAACTAAGAAGCATCAATCATATCACAAAGGGAAAACCTTCCAGCTTCATACTAATGCAATAAGCCTGAGGACATTTAGTAGACCACACAATTCCACACAGTGTTTCAAGTATTCTAGAATGCATGGATTACTTTCAATGATCTGATCAGAAATTTGAGATAGAATTTATCTGAAAATGACTTTCATTTTGTGTTGACATTTTGCACATTGGCATCCCACAGAAAAATAACACTCATAGATTTTTTATTTCTGGTCTTAAAGAAAATCATTCAACCTTTCAGCTGGATGGCCTTGAAGTGTCATTAAGAACATTGACAAATCTGCATTAGTTTGACTCGCATCATCTCACACCTGTCTGCCTTTCTTGAATTTTATATTACAATGGTTGATGTAATTAAGTATTATTGAAGATTATTGACAATGGGCATTTTATTATTTTTTTTACAGAATTTTGACATTCTTCCTTCCATCAGAGCTTATTTTAACATGGGTAAACACATCCTTTTGTGACACATTTACTATTTTCATAATTTAAGGTTCCCAATTATAATTTTACAAGCCAACTCATTATTTGTAAAATATTCTTATGTACTAGTAAATAAAATCATGAATTTTAGATGACAACAATGTCATCTGGGATTTTTGTCATGTAAGAAAAATGCTCTGGAAAAATACTTAATTTTTTTCCAAGTTAGAGCATGATTGTAAAATTATCTGCAAGAAGAACAGCTGCTCAATATGTCACATATCAGAACAAGATCAACCATTGTTTTGTCTTACAAAAGCTGAAACGACTTTTTCTTCAACCAATATCTTGCTCGTTGAATTCAACTAAATTAAGTAACAGATATATATGATGCTTCAAACCTGATCTGATGTAAATTTCAAGGACTGTCAAGATTCTTAGAACGGTGAAGAAGTCTATCAAATATATATATATATATAATTATAGTCATATCATGACTATTAAAAAAAAAAAAAAAAAAACTGTCATTAAGGAATGCACTATTATGACACTACCAATTTAAAACATCAACAGAAAAAATATTTTTCGCATTATCCTTACATTTATAAACAAACATAGGGAAAACCTATAAAAAATCTCAAAGTCCTCATAATCAGTACTATATCTAGGTGTGCTAGAAGAGAGGACTTCTGTAGAGAAGATTTGAGTTGAATTAATGGCAGGCAATTTATCATTCTACTGAATGGACTTTTGGCACACTGAATAGCTCAAGTTTCCAAGAAAAAATTAAAGGTCATCAAAGTAATCCAAAAGATAACTAACTACTTCATTGATTATTTCCAGAGAAGCTGCAGGTGAACAAAGGGTTAAGTTTTAAAAAAAAGCAGAGGATCAAAAGGGGTTCTTCTGTGAGAGATGTACCACTATTTTTTTTCTGCTGAGTTTTGCAAAGGCCTCCTGATATATTTTCTGCAACTGATAACACAAACACTTTAAGTTATGTTACATTAGAATGGTTTTGTAAAATTTAAAAAATAAGGCATGATAAAGATAACTCAAGATATTAATACCAATGACTGAACATCATCTCCCCAATAGAGGAAAAAGGCAGCTAAAATCCAGCACTTATATTTTCCCCAATATTTCAATACCATGCACAACAAACCATGCTGGTTAGTTGACCATATTATAGACAGAAGCATTTCATAATTGATGAAAATCTCGTTGACAAATATGAGGCAGGTTTCACCATCAGCAAAATCAAGAACCTTGTTCAAGGGCATACATGACACGTTTAAAGGTATGTTCTCATTACAGATATGCACTGTATGCTCCTGATATTGATATATATATATGCAATGTGCTAAATTAAATTACCATAAGTGTCTTAGGTTATGTAAGAAACATGCAACAATACGAACACCACAATCAAAATCTTACAAGGTAAGCAGTAGGAAGTTGAAATTCAAATCAAGTATACAAGTGCCTATGGCGTCAAAAACATTTATAATGCTTTACATTGTACTTAAGCAAAACCAAGAACATAACAAAAATGGTCTGGTTCATTAGGCAGATCTATAAAATGTGACTTCATTTTCTTTCCTTACCTCCTGTCGTTGCCCACTACATCTAGAAAGCCAGGGTCTGGAGATAGATCTGTGCGATATTTGCCAAATGATGCCTGCTTTGTGTAAGCCACTAACTTCAGTTTATCTTGATAAGTCAGATGGATGGCTTTGGTGCCTTCTTTTTCTGAAAAAAAAATGATGTGGTTTTAAATTCATAGCATTTGCAAAGAAAAAAAACCACTGAAGTGTGTTTAAACATAGCTGTGGATACACGTGTATGCTTGTGCATGTGTGCTTACAAGCATGAGGATGGTTTGATGGATGTGGTTTCATTTATATGTGTAGCTAAGGACCACTATGAAATAGTGATTTTTTATGACAGAGAGGAAACAAGTCTGACATCTTGCATTTATTACTTTAAGTTTTTGTATCAAATTAGAAACTTCTATTGAGATTATTTTAGACCACTTGTGTTAAGACAAAGGTCACAAAGTAATCCAAAACCTTGCCACTTACAGGACAGTGAAGATAGCACAAAGTTTTATGTGTTAGGATGCATATTAAATTATATGTACTCTATGTAGTAATGCATGTAAGATATAAATGCACATAACTGTAAAATGAAATACAGTTGTGGATTGGGAGCTCTCTAATCTTTTTCTTGTATGAAACTTCCTGCTTTTTTCAGCCTAGTAGATGGGAACAGTAAAGATGAGTTTTGGGTACATTTGTATGTAAACATCGCCTTCTAAATTCACAAGTAACTGGAATTATAGGAATCCACTACCCCTTTACTATTGAGTGAGCAATGTCTTTAGCTATGCCCATGGTTGCAGTCCTTATGCCAACGTTTTTAACAAAAATTTGTTTCACTTTTGGTGTGAAGGTAAATGTCATTATAATATGACCTTGCACGGTGATATCAAAGACACTGTTGTAATTTCATATACTCTTAAGCATAGCATGATAACTACGCACCCTTAACAGCAATTCGTGGCACGAGTGATGTAACAATGTCATTTGAGATTGTTACTGACACTGGTATGATGAGATGATAATTACCTGTAGGCTGTACTGTACCTAGGTCCAGTCTAGGTGGTCACAAATAATCTATAACTTACCTTTATAAAAACGTACACATAGCCGATAGAGTTTCTCTAGAGGGAACCCCCATGTCTTGATGTATTCTTCGTCTATATTAGCGTCACCGTTGGTATCTGATATTTTGACAGAGTCATTTAAAGCCGACTCCAACCCTGTTGAAGCCATTTTTGTTTAGCCGGCCACGTAGATTCTGCCCTGCGCATGACGGATGTGGAACTATATTATGTGCCGCTTGAGGGCAACACAAGTTCAAGAGAGGACAAACCCAAATATGTATAAATAGTAATCGATTGATGGTATGGTAACATAAAAATGATATTTCAAAAGTCAGTGCACGGCACACATTTCTGAGAATTATCATGTCTTTTCTAATATTTACCTTATGCATTTAAGTTAACAAGCCCGGACGACCTATGTAGCAAGCAAGTAACATATGTAATAACGAGTATGAACTTACATGTTAGGCAGAGCCTGTGCTGACAAAAACAAATGCTTTACTTTCCCCACCTTTAATGATTATGCATTTTCACACCATCTAAACCTCAGCTAGAATAAGACGACTCCCGTTTACGCCATAACATTTTTGCATAATCATCAAAACTAGCAAATTATTATTTAGTCGCTTCTGCAGATTATAAAAGGGTTTGCCATGAAGATTAGATCAACGATCGATGATGCATAACTTTTAAACGTAGTGTTTGCCTGTATCCACCAACATAGATAAGACATAGTATTGTTTTTATTTATTTATTCATCTTTCCTTGTATGTGTGTGTGTGTAGGTGCATTCAGTATCCATCGTTTACTTGTTTAAAACTATGAAAAGGTATAAGGGATAACTGTGGATTTCCTGGGGTAACTGATGAATCTCTTACAATGATTAATTAATCCTTTCCAACATTTAAAGAGAATCCATGTATTTATTTATATATTTATTTTTTTTAAAGTTTGGTGTTTTTGTAATAATTTCTCAAGAGATTATTATGGAGGTATGGCCATTCGTAGTCCACAGGGTCCAGTGGCAAGCACAGATTCTAGAATAATTGTGGTAACTGCTTTTTTACTTGTAAAAATGAATTTATTATGTTTCCATGACTTGTTTATAAGGTATTTATTGTGATATGAATCTCATACAAACAGCTATCACTTTAACATTTTTTCTGTGGATACTTATATATCACTGTGCTGCTATTTGTGAAAAGTTTCTAAATTGTCTGCTGAACTGATATTATATCATTTTCACATAAATCAAAACAGGATAAAAATCTGCATAAGCAAAATCAGCTTACTTTATTCAGTAAAATGAAAACAGAAATATCTTTAAAAATTTGATAAAAAGTTAATTGGTATAGAAAATATCCTTCTGCATATCACTTGTAATTTGTTCTACAAAAGCAACAATAAACATTCAATTCATTTTTCAAAAACTTCAAACTTGAAGATTACATAAATCTAAGTAATTAATTGAGCTGTGAAAAGTAAACGGGTAAAATGCCACTATTGTTCACTATATAATTTTTCATCAAACAAATGGTCAGTTTTTCACAAAACATACATATCATATATCATTAGTAGTATTTGAAAAAAGCAATAAATTCTACAAATACAACAGTCATTTCACAGTATGCCAAATTTTTAAAAACTTAATTTATAAAACTGATATATTATAATCTTATGAGAGTTAATCATTTATAAAAAATCTATAAAATTGATATGTAAGTTTAAAAGTTGGTATAAAAATATGATTTTGCTCTTAGATCACTTGAACCTTATATTTTACTAAATTTATTTTGCAAAGCGCAACACATTCACTTCTTCAAACACTACCAGCATGAAGCTCAGTCTAGGTCAGTGAACTGTGAAAAGTTAAGGAACAAAATCTTCTTCACAAACGCCACAATTGTTTAAAACACCATGGTAGAGAAAAGTATTTTCATCGTTTTACAACTTTATATAACTTCATTTGAAATGACAAATTTTACTTTTTTTTTTGAAATTTTCAAAATCTTTTAAATTGATGTTTTAGAAAAAAATGTGTGATCATACATTTGCTTATATATATTTATATATAATGTGAAATATATTGCAAACCAAACTAACAGTGAAATAGGCTTTTTGTCAGCCATTTGATCAAGGCCCTTAATTTGAGCTTGAAATGCAATACCTCAAAGGTAGAAGTGTTTAATTTAGTCTCTATAAAAACAATTTTTTATCATCAAACTACAGTTTGTATTTTATCATGAAAGAAATAAATAGACCCTTGATAATGTATATCACCTATTTGGAATCTTGAGTAAAATTATATGTTAAAGCTGTCTGTATTATATTGTCAAATATTAGCAATACTTTACTACGGCATAATCAAGTAAAAGTGTGATTTTTTTCTTTCTTCCTAATCTTTGTCAATTCATCATATTCAATATATAAGACAGTTTGTTACAAACTTAGCAAAGGCATTTTTGTTACAATAAACTGCACTGCACTGTGATCGATACTGTATTCATTGAGACCATCTTAATCATTTGCTACATAAGAACAGCTCTTAACAATCATCCTCTATTAAACTCTGTGTGTGGCAGATTGGCCAGTCCACAAAGTGTCATCAGGGGGGACCTGCAAAGCTCCAGGGCCACAGCCATCATCATCATCAGGGTCATGTGGTTCAGGGGTCACCCTTCTGTGCAAAGGGTGATCTGCACCCAGGAAAACTTTCCTTCCACTATCTGTGTCATCTTGAGATATTTCAGATCCAACCTGGTTCTTAAAGTGATGTTCCTTGTGGATGTCTGAATGGCTGCTTCTGGGGCTATCACCATCCTCAGCAATGTACTTGTGGTGTGATTTGAGTTTGGATTCTTGTCCCTTTGTGGTCATTCCAAAGCTTGGACTCTCCATGCTCCCATCTAGTGCATGCTTTTTAACTGAAGCACAATGAATAATGTGTGTAAATTTTACTTTCTTAAAGAAAATGCAATAAATTTAAGTAAGGCATCACCATTTTGCTTATTGATATAACTTTTATTCAATAGTTTCTTTTTGATGTGGAAAAAAAAACTTTAGTAATCTATTTACTTCTCTTTTTCAAAAAGACTTAGTTGTACTGATTTTAATTAAAACTGAACCAAAAAATTTAGTTAATCATCATTTCCATCAATGTAGATACTGGTAGAAGTTATTTGGTCTATATATGTGAAAAAAGAAAAGTAAAATATGCAGGAGTAGTATCAATCAAAACAACTACTACTTCTACATGTAGCATACCAAACAATACAGCAAACTATATCCAATCAAAGAATTCTATACATGTCCATCCCAAGTCCAACACAATATACCTTTCTTGTTTTTGTAGTACACAAAAGCCAATATTCCTCCAATAACAAGAATAACAATGAGGATGATGACAACAATGGCCCAGGCTGGAAACTGGGAGGCAGGTTTCTTCAGGGAAAAAAGACAAGAAGTCAATTAATAACCCTTTTTAAACCAACATTCTTAAACTATAAAGCCAATAAAAACAAAGATTCAAATATTAGCCTGGTTACAACAATAATATAAGAACAACAGACAGTTATTCATTCAACAATTCTACATGGTTGTATGTGTAATATAAACAACATATTTTCTCTTCATTTTCAAATGTTCCAATCATTTCAAGCAAAAAGAATTTAAAATTCTCACACTAATATTTTCCACCTTTTATGATAACTGATAAAATGCTGACTTAAGATGTTTTCAATGCTAAACATACCACTACTGGTGGTCCATCATCATTTCCATAGTATCTGTCTCCATCCACATACATTTCATATGTTGCTTCCATACTCTGGCCATCAACAGTAATTTTCCATCCAGCCTTGATTTTCTCCCATAAACCCAATAATGTGCTGTTAACACCATCTTGTGTCCCAACTACCTCAAAAGTGCTGATTATGCTTCCTTAAAAATCAAAGTTATTTGATGTAAGAAAAAAAAAAAAAAAGAACCATAAAAATATAATCAAAATCTTATATAAACACAATACCGAACAATAAACAGATGTGTTATAAATTAAATCACATTAATGGGTGGTACCTTCTGTAAAATTAAAATTCCTCAAAAACACTCCTTCATGGTATGCTGCCATGACAAAGTTGTGGATGAAACCCTCGAGGACATGCTCCTTTCCTGATGCCACGGTGCTATAGTCTCCAGACCACTTAATGGACACAGTCTTGTTGACCTCCTCCATAGGGCTAGTGTAGTTGACCGGGTAGAACACGATTCCTCTGGACACAGTGGTGAAGTCAAATTCACTCGGTGTTGACCAGGCACGGAATTTTAAGAATACTTGGAGAGGGTATTCAGCAGTGGTTGACAGGATCAGGTCATCATACACAGCTCTCTGGTCAGGTACAGAGGCATTGAAGTCAGCACTGGTTGTACCAGTCAGAGTGGCTGGGAAGCTGCTGGGCATGTACAAAGACACCTCTGATTGCCAGCTATGACCCTGTTGAAAACATATTGAAATAAAAAATTAATTTAGAAACAACTGAATGTACATGTACTTCAATTTTTTTTAAAACTTAAACATGGTTAAAATATTTTTCAAAATTTAAAGCAACATCAATTGGAATACTACATTTTATCTATTTTCTGGTTGGTCTCTCACACAACAGAAACCCTTTTCTTTAATTTTCAGCTACAGAACAAATGAAGCAATTCATAAGAATGTGTTTTAATATTTTAAAGATACTACAGTTAAGTACTATTTTTATTCCCCTATTTGCTTACCTTCCACGCAATGTCTACTAATGCTTCGTTGGTAACTTTATCTCTGATCTCTATGGCAACTGGTTCTAACATTTCACCACTAGTGGTGTTAGTCGGTTGCTCTGCCACGCCCACTGTGAGGGGCCTCTCTGCCACTGTGATGGCACTGGAGAAGGCAGAGTACCTGAAAAAGTTTTATTATTTCAATTAAGTTTTGTAGCATTGACAAACATTGTAAAATATTACAAAGAAAGACTTAAAACAAAGAATTTTTACAGGAAATGAAACTTTATAATTTGTGACTGCGTTGGTTTTCTGGCTTAGTTATAGTGTAAAACATACACACTCCTTCAGAAAGAAAGCAAAGGCAGTCTGAGATGACAGAGTGATTGACAGTACCAGAAGTCATGTGACTTGACTGACTCCCAAAGTTTTGGCTGTATTATTATGACTTCTTACTTTTTGTAATCAAAAAGAAAATTTTTTTAAAATAATAATAATAAATGGAAAAATACTTTTACTTCAAAGAGCTTGTAAACTAACCTGCTAGCCTCACTAGGATAGGTAAATGTAAAATCAAGGATATATCCACTTCCACTGTGTGATATGCCTAGGTCTGTGAAGTTTGCCCATCCCTGTTTGTATGAGACAGTGACAGTCCTCACAGCACGAGCTCTAGAGTCTGTGCCACTGCCAGATCTTAATGTGGCTGTCAGCTGCCAGGGGTGGAACAGGGAACCAAGCTGCTCCACAACATTGCCCTGTGGAAAACATTTGTGCTTTATGTAGTATGCCTCATAAATTAAACCAAAAATTTTCATTAAAAACCAAAATTTTCTCTTCATTTTTATAAATATATTATTATATTGGTCTCCTTACTATTTTGCTGATCTGTAAATGATTTACCATTTCCGAAATTCTCTTAATTTTCGTATATTACACTCTAAACTTTGAAGCACTTTATTTTTTCACTTCTGTGACAGTCATAATATTCATGTACATATAAAGAATATAATTAAAAAAAAAAAAACACATACCCCTGTGTCATACATTCTCAGTCCTGCAGGAACTGAAAAATGCTGCTCCCTCATGAAGAGCTTCTGGCTGGACAATAAGCTCCAATCTTGATGGAATTTGTATAACATTCTGAAACTCCCTAGAGTTCTGAATCTCCTCCCACACAGAATCATTGGTTGGGGGCAGGGGTTCTTCGAGAGTTACGTTAATGACACTAATATTCAAAACCTGAGAGATTTTTCCCAGCTGAACAGCATCATAAATCATAGCACTGGCATTGGCTAGTTTGGTGTATGGCGTCTGGCTTATAGATGCTACATCTGTGTCACCCCTACTTGGAACATCACCTATTTCAATGTTTATCATCACATTACCAGTGGTTGCTCGTTTCTTTCTCCTGCTGTCCTCACTGACAATGTTAGCAATACGAATTTTGTTTGGAGGAATATCCAAGAAAAAGGCAATATTTTGGACAAGGTTTTCACCGAAGAAGTCTGTAATAGGGAGTGGAACATTGTTAGCCCCAATGACAAGGAAAACCTGTGGAATAGTTGTTACATCTACAATATCAGTCCCTGCTACAATGACATACAGAAGTTTTTGTACCATATCAAAGTAGTTGGCTCCATTTCCATCAGTTGAAAGATCTGGTAAATAATGTCCAGGGTATGTTGGTCTCTGGGTCACCTCTCGGCCAAGACTGTCATAGCCACTGTTTTTAGGTTTAACATATGCACCATTACTACTGACAACTAATTTCTGAGGATTAGAGTAAAACACTGCAACACGAACAACGTCAGTTTGTTTGGTATTGATCATAAAAAGGCGAAGGTCTTGTGGAGCTGTGCCAGTGAAATAGATGTCAAAGTGCTTTCCTGTAAAAAAAAAAAGGACAAATTTTAACAGACATTTTTTGAAAATTAAAAATTAAGTAAAGGAGAAAAATAAACAACAACTCCATGCTGACTCATTATTGTTCATATTATGTATAAATTGCTTTCCATACTTTCTCAAACCAACTATTTAGCACATTTCTGTAAATGTTCAGAAATATAATAAACAAAGGAACCCTAATTACCTGTTGCCACAACTGAGTAGAATGTAGACAGCCTCTCTTTACATGTGTAGCCATCACACCAATGGTAATCTTGTGGCCCGTTGATGAGATCGATATAATCCTCTCCATGTATGGCTACAGGTCCTATGCGATGAGTTAAGGTGTTGGCGTCCATGCTCTCTATGATCATAACCTCATAGTCCATGTCATGACACTTGTATGCCTGCATCATGGATCTCCAGGTACACTTGGAAGTGGTGCTGGTTCCAATAATCCCTGAAAAATTATGGTATTGAAGAAGTCTTTATAATATTTCTTTACTGACTTAAGTACAAAAGACCTAAAAAAAGAATAAAATGAAGCCATCATTGAATTGACAGTATCTATGATTATAAAATGCTCTATAAGATTCATCTTTGAAAAATACTTTATAAAAGTCATCTTTGAATTACACTTTTCATCTTTGAATTACACTTTTTCATCTTTAAATTACACTTTTCAATGATTACCCACAAATTGCTTCAGAAATACTTAATATATCATTATGTCTGCAGATTGCAATGCAACTAAAAGAAAATAATTTAATAAAACTAAGACTGCATTCTCACAGACTTTAGATCGATCTATCCCCCTGTGGAGTCTCACTAGATTGGTTTCAGCTTAACAGGCTTAAATGTCTGCCCCGCCTACTAAGGGCTGTAAGGGGGTAATTAACTATAGTGCGCACTTGGCTGACAGCAATTTAGCGTGAACCCCCATGAATCGATCTTAATCTCTGGGAATGCAGTCTTAGACACCATAAATTTTTAAGTTAGCCAAAAAAAAAAAAAAAAAAAATCCCACCTTTGTTAGGCATCAATATATTCACATCCAGTTTAGTCCCGTTAGGTGCAGTCAGCATGGCTTTTGGAATGCGATAATCTCCTAATCCTCGTCTTCTGTCACCATCCCATTCAAAGGCAGAATCAGCAACAAGGCTTCCTTGATTCAAACCAGCTAGAAGACTTCCATCTGTGTCTTTGATGAGAAGCTTTTTCTGACCATCACAATCCATGTCAACACAGTCTGTGGGGTTAATAGCACTACAAAGTGGAAAAGAGAAATACAAGAAAGTGCTATCAATGGGTGGGTACTAATACATTGAACCAAGTAAATTTAATTCCATTTCAGCAAATGAAATAAATATATAATAAAACTTTTAAAAAAGGAAATCTTCAACATAAAAAATTTTAGACATTAATACTGGAATACTGCAGAACAGATTATTCAAAAAAAAAAGATAAATGAACCATCCAATTTACCCTAATTCTGGTCTGTGGTAAAATGCAACGCTATCTTCATCTACTTGATACAGGAAGGCATTTGACACCTCAATGGGAAACTGGAAATCTTCATTATCAGGGATGTCTGTGATTGCAAAACTACGTTTTCCACATTTAGTTCCAAAGTGTGCAAAGGTGACATCTGAAGTACAAAAATGTATTTATACATACAAGGCAGCAAAGCTGTTATATATACAGACAACAAAAAGGGGAAAAAACAGCAAAATTACAGGGAAAACTGCAGGTTTTTAGTAGAAATTGAGATTCAATAAGGTACATACTTCTGACTCTCATGATGCCTGTCAAAGCTATGAAGTCCATTGCATTCTGCCAGTCCTTCTTTGGTGCTTTGTTCTCTGAAGAGTGGAACTGAGGAAAGATAAGTCCAGCAACTTTGCCCACTTGTGAAGAACTTGTACTTTGGAACACGGATCTATAAGGTGGACAAAAAAATTACTTCTCTGCCAAAACCCATAAGTTGTTCTTTTTCCATTAATTTTTAAGGGCACACATAATTAATTTACTTGCATTTTCCATTTGCTTCAAAGAAATTCAAGCAATTTTAATGTGATTTATAATGTATAAAAAAAATTACATATGGTGATTTAAAAAAAGTAGTAAACAATGTAATGCAGATAGTTTGGCCTTTCTGCAACTACACGAAATTATTTTATTCCGGACTTTTTATCAGTTAGACCACGTCATATTTCAGGACTCTTGACAATCAAGCACACATGAATAAATTTTTCATGGCCAATTACATAAGTAAATTAAGTATTAACTCTCATTTAGGTTTGGCATTAATAAAAGCAGCCTTTACTGGTACTTGCCACAAATCAATCAACCTATATGTATTGTGTGTATTAATGCATTCATATATTACACAATAGGAGGAGAAATAAATAATCTTTTAAAACTACTGACTCACCTGGACAGCCCACTGTTCTTTATATTAACATCAGAATAATCTGGAGTGTCTGTGCAATTGTAATCTGGGCTATTGCCAACCACTAAAGACTCTGACACATCAATATACTTGTTACCACGGCTATGTGATAAGGCAGCAGGACCAATAACTATTCCAAAGAAGCCAAGTGTATTGTCTACAAAAGTGACTCCTGCAAATACAAGTTTTTCATTATATGAAATGTTAAATAATCACTTTTATTTCAAGGCAAAACTTGTAAAACTTCAATGTGGAACTCAACTGCGATTAATTCTTTACTGCTCATTGAATAAATAAATAGAACTGACAGTAATTTTTATTGCCTAAAAACCAATCTAAAAGGTAAATGAGATACACTTGAAGCTTACACACCACTGCCAGTACAGCCAGTAAGAGCAGAACACTTCTTAAAACACATGATTCATCTATAAGTACACTTTTTAGGATTTGAAACCCTGACTCCAACTGTAATTGCCTCTCACCAGTGACTTCTATACTGCAACCAGACTGGACATAAATGCCGTGATCCCAGGCTGTGGCTACAGTGAATCCTGACAGTTTGAGACATGTCCCAGAGCAATCCACAGGCCAGATGAGGACACCAGTGAGAACTGAGTGGGCAACATTGCCAGACCAAGGAAGGGGGTGAACTGTTGGGTCGTTGGAACTTCCACATTTTTCACCTGGTAGATAATTATCAGACTTCCATTAAAACAAATTATCCTGGCATTTAAATCTTACAATGGCTATATAACCATTCAAAAGCTGTATTTGTTTTAAATTACTTTTTAGTTTTGAGCAGTCCATCCATTTTTTTGTTGTTTTTGTTATCTGCCCATCATGAGCCAAATGTTTTTCAACTTTTAAAATGTATTTAACACAATAATCATGGTGTAAAATGCAAGGTTGCTTTTGACAAAAACAAACACAAAACCTCATGGTCTACCAGTACCTGTCAATCTGAACCCACTCCTCTCAGACCCTGCCACGTGGTTATCCTGCAGTGTTAACCGTGACGCCTGATGCAGCTCTATGGCCGCAGGATGAAGAAAGTTGTAGATTTCATTTCTGTCTTGGTAACTGCCTCGCCACAGCGACAATGCTACCAAATTCTTTCTCAGGGTGTGATTTGTGCCAGTGACAATGATGCCTTGAGAAGAAATGTCATAATCATTTTCAGATTTTTTTAAAATCTTTTTTTATAGCAAACTATAGAGCATTTTAAAATCACTTAAATCTTTGTATTGATACCATAGCTAAAAATACAGAATAAAAAATTAAAAACTGAAGAATAACAAATTAAATTTATTTTGACACTTGGGCAACGTGATATATGAAGTAAAACAGAAAAGATTTGAAAACAAATATTGAAATTTAGCTTTTAATTAAAATCATACTTTATTCGCTACTTACTAGGTCCCACAGTATGGTGAACCACATTAAGTTCGATGTTTAATGCATCTGACTCAGCCCTCTCGCTACTGGTTCCGTATACTCCAATAGCTGTGGAGAACCCACTATGGAAAGAACACTTCTTAACAAAGGAAGGCTTCAAGTTGTTGACTGTTTGCAGCTGGATATAAGCCAGGGAGTAGCGGGCATCGAATTCACTTGTCCAGCCTTCCTGTCCGCTATGGTAGAACTCTACATTACTTAGTCTGGCATAACCTGAAAAAAAGAAACATTTACTTTTTGTAACAATTGCCTCTTAAATAGCTTTTCATGCTTTAGGACCTCTATTTATCATTTAAAAATCACAATTTTCTGCCAAATTATATGGAGGCAAATCACAATTTTCTGCCAAATTATATGGAGGCAAAAATGTTATTAATAATCACGTTTATTTTATAAACTTTTTAAAATAAAAAAAACTAGAGGATCAGAGAGGCGATACCGCCTCCGAATATTGTACCACCAGCTGGAGTAAGCGCATTCGTATAGACCCCCACATACACAAAATAAGGGACACAGCCACCAGTCTTTTGCTTGACAAGCTGTAAAAATGCAATCAACAAGAATTTTCAAAATATGCAAAAAAATATATCAAAAGTTCATCAAAAGGTAGGTGGAAGGTCAATTTCACAGTAAGATTGCCAGTATATGACTTCCTATTCAACTTCAAAAGTAACTTTGGANTGTTTTAAATTACTTTTTAGTTTTGGGCAGTTCATTCATTTTTTTGTTGTTGTTGTTATCTGCCCATCATGAGCCAGCCAGGTGCCGACTTTCTTTCTAAAATGTTTTTCACATCTATAATTCTTTCAAACTGTATTTAACACAATAATCAAGGTGTAAAACAGCAAAAAAGCAGTTACTATATTTTGACAAAAACAAACACAAAAATTGCCAACTACATACATAAGTATGAGTATAGCTTATGGATAGTCGACTAGTACCTGTCAATCTGAATCCACTCCTCTCAGACCCTGCCACGTGGTTATCCTGCAGTGTTAACCGTGACGCCTGATGCACCTCTATGGCCGCAGGATGAAGAAAGTTGTAGATTTCATTTCTGTCTTGGTAACTGCCTCGCCACAGTGACAATGCTACCAAATTCTTTCTCAGGGTGTGATTTGTGCCAGTGACAATGATGCCTTGAGAAGAAATGTCATAATCATTTTCAGATTTTTTTTTGAAATCTTTTTTTTTATAGCACACTATACAGCATTTTGAAATCACTTGAATCTTTGTATTGATACCATGGCTAAAAATACAGAATAAAAAATTAAAAACTGAAGAATAACAAATTAAATTTATTTTGACACTTGGGCAACGTGTAAAACAGAAAAGATTTTGAAACAAATATTGAAATGTAGCTTTTAATTAAAATCATACTTTATTCGCCACTTACTAGGTCCCACAGTATGGTGAACCACATTAAGTTCGATGTTTAATGCATCTGACTCAGCCCTCTCGCTACTGGTTCCGTATACTCCAATAGCTGTTGAGAAACCACTATGGAAAGAACACTTCTTAACAAAGGAAGGCTTCAAGTTGTTGACTGTTTGGAGCTGGATATAAGCCAGGGAGTAGCGGGCATCGAATTCACTTGTCCAGCCTTCCTGTCCGCTGTGGTAGAACTCTACATTACTTAGTCTGGCATAACCTGAAGAAAAAGAAACAATTACTTTTTGTAACAATTGCCTCTTAAATAGCTTTTAATGCTTTAGGACCTCTATTTATCATTAAAAAATCACAATTTTCTGAAATATTATACAGAGGCAAAAATGTTATTAATAATCACATGTCAAAGTGTTTATTTTATAAACTTTTAAAATCAAAAAATAAATATCATATTGAGCGCTAATCAAATATCATTTTGGTGCAATGTTCGAACTGAGATTTAGTGGCCAATGTGGACAGTATACCACTCCAGCTGTCATACTTCAATTCAGAGGCCTGTTTCACATTCAAATATTGAAGCTTTATGGAATACCTAAAGAGTCTGCCTTAATATCAAACCAAAAACTAAAACTGCTTCACAAATTTTATATGCCTATACTGAGTAACAAGCTTCTAAAAGCAAGTTGGGATGCTATTGTCCTCTATAAAGTTAAACTGCATAAAAATGTACTTCAAATCAATTTACAACACGTGCTTTAATCAAGTCCTCACTCATTTGGCTTACCTTTGGCCACCTTCACCACACCATTTTCCTCCCAAGAAAGTGAGCTGACCACTACCCTGGCTCCATAGGACTGGCTGTACAGGTCAGGGTAGTCTTGACCAATGATCTTGATATTCCTGGACAGTAGGCCTACTTCTGCAGCCACCCTGTAGTATATTCCATTTATGGTCTCTTCAGAGGCTGCAAGATAACAAACCTTCCTTTATTATATCTAAAAAAATCTGAATGTCATTCTAATGCTCCCAGATTTATATATAGGTAAGGCACCTTTCACTCAGGAACATGTACTGATACAAATGGATGCATGTACCATAGAAACCAAGAGTGAAATGAAAGACTCAAGGTCCAAGTATCTTTTAACTGATTAGCAAGTAACTGACAAAAAGACAAACAGCCATATTCCAGTGCCCCCCAAGTTTGTTTATTTGGTCTTTAAAGTTATTTATAATTATTTTTCTTTGGGGGTAAGAGGGAGGAGACCTATGTACCAAAAAAAAGTAATGGGGTCAGCCAGACATACCTCTGTGGTTAAATGACAGTGAGGCATTTAAGGTGACAACTTTGCCGCTCACTGCTGTAATCCTGCGTATCTCAGTCTCAAATGGATTGAACCCTGTTGCAGTAATCATTATGTCATCATTTGGATTCCAGTGGTCAGAGATGTCATCTCTCAGTGTTATAGTAGTGTCTCCTGCACTGGCAGGTCGCGCCAGTTCTGTCCATGGTATGACCACATCCTTACCATGAAGATCCAGGCCTCCAAATGCAGCTGTAGATTAATATTAATAATGATAATGAAAAATAAATTTGAAATATTTTGGACCTTAAAATTATATTTTATTTTGGTGAATACTGAAATCAATAATTCAGTCAATGCTTTGAAGTGAAAATATAGTACTATGATAAAATGGGTCCATGGAAACACCAGTTACAAATTATAAGTTTAAAAGAAGATATTTGTTAATTCATCTTGGCAAGAACAATGTTAATCTACATGTATCAGAAATGCAATCATGACTTAACAAAGTTAAAACACACCTTGTTTTTTCTTCTCACATCTATAATTTAATCTGTTCTCACCTATGGCTTTGGATCCCACTTCAGGTCCATAACCAGGCAGAAGGTAGTCAGGAGTGGTACGAGTTCCACGGAGAATTATCTGAGCACTGCCCATGAACACATTATCTGACCATCCAATTATCAAACGTCCTGGGAACTGGATAAATTTAGAGGAATTTTAATCAAAAAAGGCTATAATCATTAATCATCATTTACCATTGACAATAATTAACTTTTAAGGGCTACAAATGAGCTATATTCCAACACTAAGCTGAAAACCTTCTGCTGATTTAGTCTTTTATTTATCATAATTTTTAACAAGACAAGTAAAAAAGTATAAAGCTTTTTGGCTGTGTGTCATTATACACACCTACCTTAATTATGATGTATGTTGCATTGATGACAAAATTGTAATATTGGTTTGTTAGTGGATTTCTCTGGTACTCCAGTTCCAATGTCCCATTCAGCTCCAGACGATCAAACACTGGCAGTGCCATGTCAGCAACCACCCAATCACCTAGACGATATATGAACACTTGAACAAAATCCTGTCTTACAAAAACTTCAATACACATATTAATGTCCTTATTCCTCCTGCTAACCAGTATAAGTTATATATAAATTATGACAGCACTGTATTTAGCAGTATAAGACAGACAAAGCACCTGCCTCGTATAGAAGTTTACTGATCAAGCTGGGCCCAGTGGGGTGGGCTAGACAACTCTAAAAAGGATGTTTTGCCTGATCACTTTCTAATGTTTTAGGCCAGATTTCTGTCAAATGGGCTGCACTTTTGTACTAATAAAACATGGTTCAGTTAGAAATGATTGACAAATAAAGACCAAACTTCTTAAGTAAATTTTTCTTCCTAAAATATTACTAAGAAAAACACACAAGTGGGTTCAAAATAATTTTACTATATGATTTACTTCAATCTATATAAATATACAATAAAAAATTCAAAACTGTTGAAATGATCCAAGTATATTGCATTACGTTTGCACTAGCTGCACTATTTTGTTTAACTTTGCTGAGTTCCAAGTAACATCTTGTCTTTAATCAAAAACAGACATTCATTAAAGCTTATCCTGATCTACCATACCTTCCCTGATCCCAACACTCTCCCCATCCACTGGCAGAGGTCCTGAGCCTGTGGTACCGGCAGACATCTTGTAAGTGGCACCATTATGTGTGTCGGTGCCACCCCATGTGGTGGTGGCTGACCACAGTTGGAACACATCGGGTCTCTCCCTGACAGGTGGTATTGTATTGGGGTCTGCAGGGGGGACGCAGCCTATATAGAAGCAGCGGTATGCTTTGAAGTGAACATTTCTGTCCTTGGTACCAGCTTCCACCATGAGTGCCCGTTTTTTTCTGGTTGGTCTGTCCCTGCCACTGACTACAAAAATGTGTTCAAATCAATTCATTAACAAAAACAGCTAAGAAAAGAACAGCTGATATACAACCTGCTGATATACAAATAAAGTTTGCACTTAACTATATTCAGTGTAAATTTTAAAATGAGAAAAAAAAATTCTTCATTTTTGCAAGTCTTATTATACCACATACNTACCAATGGCCAACGACCCCATTCCTGCATTCAAAGTTAATCCAGGGTTTTTTTCCTAAACGTACGGTTTTTTGTTAAAATCTCTTAAGAGATTTTAACTGACGGAGCTCTCTCTGACACTGCAAAGTCACTGGTGACCTACTTAAAACCGCGGGAAAAGCAGACAACAACAACACTATATAAGATTCATGAGATATATTCGTCTTTTTGTTAAAAAATGCATTTATATCCACAATGTGTGCCATTCTGGGCTTTTCGTTATCCGACGCACTGTACAAAAACTTGCAACTTACGTCTGAGGGTTTCCCGCCATGTTATTTTGGTCTCGAATGAACGCGAGAATCCGCGTGACACCATTACGTCATTAGCAACGAATGCACTTGTCGACCGGAAAAAAAGGGATCGAAAGCCCTATTGACAAGCACAGATTTTAGTTTTCCTACAATAACGGCCGTTTTAGTGGTAAAATACAATAGAATATATTTCCATGCGTTGTTTACAATGTATTTCATGCGGATTTTTGAATCTCAAAGGAAGAGTTATTATTGCTTTAACTATATTCAGTGTAAATTTTAAAATGAGAAAAAAAAATTCTTCATTTTTGCAAGTCTTATTATACCACATACCAGTAGGAATATGAAAATGCAAAATGCACTTACTCATATAACAAAGCTTGTTAATGTTAGTGTAATAATAGAAGTCTCCGTTATAGTTATTTTCACAGGTCAGAGGTGATGGAGAGCCTTCTTCAAAGGGACGGTCACCGTCTGTGGACAGGATGCTCACTCTGTCTGGTTGACGTGTCAAGTTGTGACACATTATAATGCAGCAGTCAGGCTGGAGAGCAACAATATAAAACAGGATTAAGACTAAAAAAAAATCTTACAGCTCCAGAAAGAGATAATTCGATTAGTCAAAATTTTGCCCCAAGGGTTTAAATCATAATGTTACAAAAACTAAAAGTACGATTTGTTATAAAAAAAGAGCTACATCTATGAATAAAGTGCAGTACAATGAATTATAAAATTTGCTTAAAGTGTCTGGTCTGTTTTAGCAGAACAAAAAAATACATGTGATGATAACATTACAAAAGAATCAAGGAGAAAAATGTAATCCAAACATATTACCTGGATACCATAATAAGCTCCTTGGTATGAAATGTTAGCAATCTGAGAAGAATCTTCAAATGTTAAATCATATGTAACATTACAAAGGAGATCTGTCATCCATCCTTGGGAATGAACCAGATTGCGCATTAGAAGCCATTCCAAATATGCAGTACCATACTGGTTGGATAGGATAGCTCTTTTGAACTCGAGGGAAGCAGGAGATGGCTGATGTAATGAAAACTTGCGGATTCTCACAGAATCTTCACACAGGTAGCCATCCACTGCTCCCTTGCTGAAGCGATCGTCTCTAGTGCATTTTGACGGTGTAAATGTTGGGTTGTAGGGAACGATTTGATAGCCTTTGTGTCCAGTTAAAGAACTGTCCATATCTGTCATTACGACCTCATTTATCCAGCGCCATGCTCCTCTGTTTTCAGAATTCACAAACTCAAGGTTTTGAAACCTCTGTTCCCAGCCCCCACACCCTAAAACACATATACACTCAATGAAGGTAGCCCCAAACACAGAACAGTTGCTCTGATCAAAGTTGATAAACCTGGTATTGTTCACGTTCAGTCCAGCCGCAAAAGGCAGAATAAGTCCTCGGTCCGTGCATCTCCCTGCTGGCAGACTATGCCCAATAACAACAATATCATTAAGAAATGGTCCATCTGCTGAAAATATGTTGGTTTGCATGATGAGTTTGTACTCAATTCCTCTTGCATAGTTGTCAAAAAGGACGATGTCACTGAACTGTAAAGCACCCCCATTAACTACCTCCATTCCTTTCAGGCTATTATATGCAGTTAGTTTGCTGAAGGTTGCAGGCTCAGGGATCATGCTGTTGCAGCCTCCACCTTGCATGGGGTAAAAATCTGGGAAAATCCACAGGACAAATTGACCTAGGGAGTGCCCAGTGTTATTGTAGAACTCACCCAGAGGCACCTTAGGGGGGCATATGGTGGGGTCATAAGAGGGTCCTTCAGGGTGTTCCTTCATGCGGTACCAATAACCAAAATGTGTTCCCCCTGCAACATGGCAGTGGCGAATAACATTATCTGGATTTGTTATCCAAAACGCAGCTGGAGTAATGTCATCATTAAGTAAACTTGTACTTTGTCGCACAAAAATGGCAAGATCATACTGAAAAATGTTCTTGGTTTCTATGCCATCCTCTAGGAAGAAAGCTCCACCTCTGATGTTATAAATAAAGGTGTGCTCGACCAGCACATAATGGGTGCCGTGAATATTGACAGCTCGATTATAAGCATCATGGATTGAGCATCCTCTCACATAAGCTTCATCATATGAGGTGTTTCCCATTAGGTGAAAATGAATGGGATAGCGACCAAGACGGAAAGCCTGACCAACATGGGTAAACTCCGTATATGAAATATGAGCATGGACACAGTGGCTGTTTGGAGATGGGGGATGGATGATAATATGGGCGCCAAACTCATCGTTCAGTTCTTCATCGCCAAACAAACCTTGAAAGCATGTCTGTGTATCAAATTCACCTGGAATTTGATCAAAAATTTATCACAACGAGAAACACTTGCATGTCTTAGTCTACATTGCCTTCCATAATATTTGCAAAAACATAAATTTAAAAGTTTAGTACATCAGCATTTGAATAAATTGATTCCATTTTTCATAAAAAGTATTTGGAATCTACAAAATCACAAAAGATGTGACACAATGGACATCTATCAAACTTAAGTGTGTTATCAGCAAACTCTTATACCAATGTAGCACAGTGCATACCATTCTAAGACTGCAGAAAAATGTCTACTACAGCTTTAATTTTTGATAGTTTGCAAGTGNGAAATCTGAGAAGAATCTTCAAATGTTAAATCATATGTAACATTACAAAGGAGATCTGTCATCCATCCTTGGGAATGAACCAGATTGCGCATTAGAAGCCATTCCAAATATGCAGTACCATACTGGTTGGATAGGATAGCTCTTTTGAACTCGAGGGAAGCAGGAGATGGCTGATGTAATGAAAACTTGCGGATTCTCACAGAATCTTCACACAGGTAGCCATCCACTGCTCCCTTGCTGAAGCGATTGTCTCTAGTGCATTTTGACGGCGTAAATGTTGGGTTGTAGGGAACGATCTGATAGCCTTTGTGTCCAGTTAAAGAACTGTCCATATCTGTCATTACGACCTCATTTATCCAGCGCCATGCTCCTCTGTTTTCAGAATTCACAAACTCAAGGTTTTGAAACCTCTGTTCCCAGCCCCCACACCCTAAAACACATATACACTCAATGAAGGTAGCCCCAAACACAGCACAGCTACTCTGATCAAAGTTGATAAACCTGGTATTGTTCACGTTCAGTCCAGCCGCAAAAGGCAGAATGAGTCCTCGGTCCGTGCATCTCCCTGCTGGCAGACTATGTCCAATAACAACAATATCATTAAGAAATGGTCCATCTGCTGAAAATATGTTGGTTTGCATGATGAGTTTGTACTCAATTCCTCTTGCATAGTTGTCAAAAAGGATAATGTCACTGAACTGTAAAGCACCCCCATTAACTACCTCCATTCCTTTCAGGCTATTATATGCAGTTAGTTTACTGAAGGTTGCAGGCTCAGGGATCATGCTGTTGCAGCTTCCACCTTGCATGGGGTAAAAATCTGGAAAAATCCACAGGACAAATTGGCCTAGGGAGTGCCCAGTGTTATTGTAGAACTCACCCAGAGGCACCTTAGGGGGGCATATGGTGGGGTCATAAGAGGGTCCTTCAGGGTGTTCCTTCATGCGGTACCAATAACCAAAATGTGTTCCCCCTGCAACGTGGCAGTGGCGAATAACATTATCTGGATTTGTTATCCAAAACGCAGCTGGAGTAATGTCATCATTAAGTAAACTTGTACTCTGTCGTACAAAAATGGCAAGATCGTACTGAAAAATGTTCTTGGTTTCTATGCCATCCTCTAGGAAGAAAGCTCCACCTCTGATGTTATAAATAAAAGTGTGCTCGACCAGCACATAATGGGTGCCGTGAATATTGACAGCTCGATTATAAGCATCATGGATTGAGCATCCTCTCACATAGGCCTCATCATATGAGGTGTTTCCCATTAGGTGAAAATGAATGGGATAACGACCAAGACGGAAAGCCTGACCAACATGGGTTAACTCCGTATATGAAATATGAGCATGGACACAGTGGCTGTTTGGGGACGGGGGATGGATGATAATATGGGCACCAAACTCATCATTCAGTTCTTCATCGCCAAACAAACCTTGAAAGCATGTCTGTGTATCAAATTCACCTGGAATTTGATAAAAAAATTTATCACAACGAGAAACACTTGCATGTCTTAGTCTACATTGCCTTAATATTTGCAAAAACATTAATTTAAAAGTTTAGTTTATCAGCATTTGAATAAATTGATTCCATTTTTCATAAAAAGTATTTGGAATCTACAAAATAACAAAAGATGTGACACAATGGACATCTATCAAACTTAAGTGTGTTATCAGCAAACTCTTATAACCATGTAGCACAGTGCATACCATTCTAAGACTGCAGAAAAATGTCTAGCTTTAATTTTTGATAGTTTGCAAGTGTCAAAGAAAAGTCTTTTAAAACTGATCCACATATATGGTGTCAGAAAAGTTACCAGATTTAAATCCAGCTTCACAAGCTTCTACTGTTTGTGTCCATTGATCATCAACTGAGCCACGGATAACAACATTACGTGTAAGCAGTCCTACTTCAGCTCTTATCTCTAAAGCTTCTCCTTCAACCATTCTGGTAATGCCTGTATGGGTAGAATAAATTATGAAACAAAGGGCTTCAAATGATATCAAAACAAAAAAAAAAAAAAAAATTTAATAAACAGGAAGGTCAAATGTTAAAGGCTAAGTGACTAAGAGGCCCAATGCAACCAATACACCAATGTTCATATTTTTAATTAATAAAAATTCATAGATCTTACTCTAACATCTTGAATTAATAAAAATACGTAAAAATCTAACATCCGAAGCATTTATTCTCCTAATCTCATATTTGCCAAATTAGACTGAGAGTCTGTAATTTTGTGCATTTCTCAATACTGTCTAAATTCAACTCATTACATACGATTTCAAAGGAGACTCACCTAAATGTTCATACTCCAAAGGTTCTGTTAATGTTAGAGTCAAACCATCTGCTGATACACTTTGAATAATGCGTTTCTCATTTTCCTTCTGACTAAGATGCCCCCCAGTGGTTGCTATGACAATCTCTTCTCCTGGTTGCCAAGTTACAGGTTGTTTGAGGGTCAGTGTATTGGTATTAGCCCCAGCTGTCTGAGCCAGCAATGTCCATGTTACGGGTATATACTGACCTGGTAAAGATAAGTGAACACCATAACAATTTTAATGCAGTGATGTACCTAACCCCCAACTATACCTTATGCAATAACTAAAACTTATTAAGTGAAAAACTGGGATTTTCAAAAAATGTGTGCATGTGTGTGTTAATCACCTGCATGATGGCTGCATCTCTTTGCTCTAATCCTCAGCAATGTTCATATTTTAAAATGGATAAGTTTCACAAAGTTTTCTTGGAGAAATGAACTGTAAAAATGACTTTTACTCCCCAACTTACCATGCAAGTCCAGGGTTCCATTCCTCACTGCAATCATCTTGGCACCATATATGGGTAACTCTGTGGTCTTCACATGTCCATGGAGCTCAATTACTGCTTTGTGTTGGAATGGAGCATCTGCAGTGCCCACCTGAAACGGGTATCCCACTGCTGATTACAAAATGTCCTACTATTAATACCAAACAAGAGACCAAAAAATTGAACTGAATTTTCTTAAAAGAACAGCATTGTACATGGCAGCATAAAGCCTCAATATAAGGGTGTGGTGACAAATTATGTCCATTTATTATTTCAAAAGGTTATAAGTGCCTTTTAATGGTTTTGAACGTCCACATAGAAGTACTGTGAAATGTACGATATTCTTTTAAACAAAACAAAATACTTACTTGGAGTGCACCACCATCTGCGATAAAAATGTACTCTGAATGTAGCTCTACATCAACCTCATCAAATACCAGCTTGCCACCTAAAAAGTGTAAATATTACTAATTAGAAACAACCTTTCTTCTGGTGAAGCCTTTTTGTAGATGATGGGCATCATACCTGAAACTAAAATCACACCTTTTCTGCCTCTGTTATGTGTATCACTAATCATTTAAAAAGGTTCATTATTTACGAACATTTTCTTCTGACACTTAACATGTACTTAAATTACCTCTGATGAGTAAAAATCTCAGTACAGGGGTGCTGACATCTAGGTAAATTGTTTGTCCCTCTTGAATGACCACATAGTCTCCAGCAACAGGAGGGCTGTCCCCGCCCCAGGTGTGTCTGGATGACCACACATCTACATAGAAATAGTCTGCATTGTCCTGGATTAACAAAAAAACACAGGTAAAAAACTTTTACATTTTAAATGAATTTTAATTATTTTAATGACTTTTCATACATGTTAAAACATTTTGGAATGCCATACGTTGATGATAATGGAAAAAGACAAAGAAACTGGTAAACTATACTCGGCATAAGAACTGTTACTGATTTTGGAAAACTGCCTTGATGATAATGGAAAAAGACAAAGAAACTGGTTAACTATACTCGGCATAAGAACTGTTACTGATTTTGAAAAACTTCAATTTTAAAACAAAAGCCATAAAAATATTTAAAACTTTTTAAGTGAGGGCATCACTGACTGACTTGGAAAAGATATGAACATATATCACTGGAAACTACTAGGAATAATCAACTTATGGGTACTAAAAATGACTCCCCCTTGTCAATTAAAAAGCAGCTCTGTTTACCTGGGTAGCAATTCCTTTATCATCTACCTCCACACGCACTTTAGTTCTAATGGTTCTTGTGTGAGATCTGGTTCTGCAGACAATAGTTGTACTGGATGCAGACTGCACATCACATGTGGTGCCATCTATACTCACTACATTACTGGTTCTGAAAATAAATACAATATACACACACTTTAGTTCTAATGGTTCTTGTGTGAGATCTGGTTCTGCAGACAATAGTTGTACTGGATGCAGACTGCACATCACATATGGTGCCATCTATACTCACAACATTACTGGTTCTGAAAATAAAAACAATATACCACCTTGCATGAATATACTGACCTATCAATACCTTTTGGTATAATATCAACAATTTTATTGATACCAAGTACTTACTTCTATTCTAACTACCATACTATATTTACACAATCTGCCCAATAAGAATTGAAATATAAAATCAAGCTATTTGTATCAAAATTGTAACATATACTTTAGATTCACTTTACATTTCACATATCTTTGTGACTGACATAACATTTCAGTCTTTTTAAACATTCAGATTAACAGCAAACAAAAGCCATACTTTTACCCAAATAGGACAAGGACCGCAAAAGGACAACTTTTTAAAAGAATTCATCTCAATGAAATGTCATACCCAAAGTTAGTTCCAGTAATGGTGAGCAATGTTCCTCCTCCTGTCCCACCTCTGGCTGGGCTGACAGAAGTAATTGTTGGAGTCAGGGCTGCCTTGTATGCATACTGGGTTGATGCCGTCTCTTGGGCATTGTTTACAGCTACTTCAATAGGGCACTGTTCTGTACTGCCACTTGTAGGACCTGAATATAGTAAAAATAATAATAATTTACTTTTGTCTTTTCTTTTCATAAAAAAATATTCAATTATTGTAGATAGGCATTTGACTTTTTTATTCTTCTTAATCATTTCCTAATATCATACATACAAAAATACATGAAAATTAGTTTTGTTTACCTAAATTTTATTTAAGATGTGATTATCTTTTAAAATTGAAAAATACAACATAACAAATAAATATGTGGCAATTTAAGAAGAGAAACAATGCTAGACATGGGTGGAATAAAGATTTTAAAAATAGAAATTAAATAGAGGGAATAGGAAGGGTTATGGTGGAAAAGAAATGCCACTAAAATTTATTTAAAACACATTTGTTAAGGTAAGGGCTGCAATCCTTTACTAACCAAAAATACATTACTTTGTTTTTCATTATGTATATATGTATTCCATCACCAGTATAACACACTTACTTTGCTGAGAGGGTGGTACTTCACAACTGATATACGTAGAATTGACAAACCGTACAACACATGGGCGTCCACACACATTTACATCAGTAACAATGGTGGAGAAACCCACACCCTCTAATGTCAGTAACTGGCCACCGCCATAGCTTCCTGCAAATACATTAGGCATTTTAAAAACATACTAAAAACAAACGTAAGCTTATCTTGGGTGTTAAAAACTGAACTTTCTAAATACTATTTTCACACTTGAGTTCTGCAGCTTTAAAGCTCAAACTGAAGACCACTTGCATTTTCATCTCCCCAACCCAATTCAGCATATGTACCTTCAACAGGTGCCACACTGCTCACACTTAGAGTATAGTTAAAGTAGACATCAGATACGGCTCTTCCTTTGTTTTGTATGGCTACTTCCACAGCAAAGTGACCAGCAGCATGGTCACCCAGTATACAGGTGATAGCTGTGGCCGAGGCAGTTTGTACTACACAATATGCATTGTCAATCTTCACCATTTCTACTCCTGGGTCAAAACCTGGGAAAGACAAAACATGTTATCTTAAGAAGCAACTTGTTTTTACCATATAAAAAATACAAGCATTTAATTGTTATCAGATATCAATATGTATTGTATGACTCCTGGCAGTTTATGTTCATTGACAAATGTTTCATTGATACACAATTCATAAAAAAATTAATTTCAGTTAAAACAACAAATGTTTTTCACTATTATCCACCATTCAATTTTATATAAATTTCTCATAAACAAAGAAGAAATGTAATATTTTAACCTGTTCCAGCTATGTTCACAGTGTCTCCAGTCATGCCAGATGTAGGGTTAATACTTGACACAATGGGTGTGGCAGCAGTGGAATAGCTGTAACTTCCTGTGGGATACTGAACTCCATTGGACACTACAGCGACGTCCACCGCACCCACTGCATGTGCCTCTGTGGTACATAGGATAGTGGAAAGATTGACAGCCAGGATGTGGCACTGCACTCCGCCCACTGTGACAGTTGTCATGCCTTCCACAAATCCAGCTCCAAATATGGTGAGGTTGGTCCCGCCTTGAGTGCTGCCCTGATTTGGGGTGACACTTTGAAGCAAGGGCACACTCTCTAAACTTACTACAGCTGTAGACTGAGGGTATCCCATTGGAGAGATGTACACCACTAATGGCTGATTCCCGACAGGGGCGTATCCAAGGGTGCAGCTGATTTCAGTATCGGAAATGGTATCAATCACACAAGTGACGCCACCTACAGTTATGTCAACAGCAGCAGTATTGGTTCCAAATTTGGATCCTTTCAAGGAAACCTGTGTTCCTGACCCCTGAAGAGTGACTGGTGAGACAGATGTAAGAGTTGGTGTTTGCTGATCAGAGTATTCAAATATGCAGTCATCTGTAGGGCAGACTGAAGTTATGCGGCCACTGATGGTGACTGTCACATTCCCAGTAAATGCCATTTGTGGGTCAGTTCTGCAGATGATGCTAGTGTAATTGGCACTTACAACTGGACACTCAGTATTTCCAACTCTGACCACTTTGTCGCCAAGATCTCCTAGAACAGTATTCATCAACCTTTAAGAGTGTTTTTTAAGGGAATAATATTGTTTCTTGTGGAAATAACAACATGGAAATTGCATTAATGGTAACTAGAGCATAAAGCTGCTAATTCTTTGCCATATTACAATTACATTTAGTACTTTGGTATCTAATACCGCCCGTCATAATATTACAATATCACTGGGACAGAAGACGTACAAAAACTGATTCAAATAAAGACACCAACAATATGAAAATATGAAAAGCATTTGCATTATTTAAAACAATGATGGTCCTTGTTCCTCATTTCTCATTTGTTGCTGTTACATGTCTTACCTGAGAACCCATCTCCTGTAAGAGTGAGAAGTGTCCCTCCAGCCACAGACCCTGAGGCAGGCTGGACGTTGTCCAATCTGGGTATCATTATAAAGCCACGCTGTAGCTGTCCATTAGGTGAGACCAGGGCAAGACCCCTGTTTGTAACATTCAGAGTCAGGTACTTCAGTTCTCCTGCTGGAAAATCACTCTCAGTCATCAAACTGCACACTATTCTTGTATTATTCACGGATGTTATACTACAAGTGTGGTCCCCTATTAACACCACATTTTCACACACGATGTCACTGAATCCAGAACCTTCTAAGACAACATCCACCTCAGGGGTTCCTTTGTTTGGCATCATAGAGGTGATGACAGCTGCACTACACAGTGAGAAGGCAAATTCAAAATGACTGCTGTCATTTGTACTTGGTGTATCTTCAAGGCAACCTGTTGACAGCTGGGTTATGTTATTGGTACAACCACTGTCGCAGCCATCTGATACTGAAACACCTAGAAAAAAGAGGAAAATACATAAAATATAAAACGTTAAGCACATGCAAACTGAACATGTCAACAAGCATGTCTTGAAACAGATACCAGTCTTAACAATTCTATACAAACTACTTTTCAGATTACTAATTTCATACAACTTCAGTTAAATCATCTGAGTACAGAACACAGATCCTCAAAACTATGATATTTTACCCCAATTTTAAACACAGACTTCAGGATCATCTCTGCAACATCTATTATAAATACCTGAATTGACATTGTATTTCGCTTCAATGTCTCCAACCTTGGCTGCCATCAGGGCGGCCTGCGATCTTCTCTTTTCAACATGAATGGTTCCTCTCAACTCCATCAGTCCACGTGTGTCTACAGTGCCACTCCAGTAATACACTGTGCCTACTTGTCCAAAACGGTACTCGAATGCACCTGGTATTGAAATATGTTAAATAAAAAATCAAAATCTGTAACAAAAGATGAGATTAAATAAAATAATGTTAATTATTAAATTTTTTATAAATTTGACCCAACAGGGATTTTACAGCTAGCCTAGTAATGTGAAAGTCACTAATTATCTTAATTTTTGCACCTGATGGTACTGGTGACCCACTCCTGAAACCTTTCCCGTCATACGAGTCTGCCACAGCACTAGCTGTCTGCTCAATCTTGAAGGCAAACCCAGAGGATGGCTCAGAGTTCCACTCCCAGCGGACTACATCACCAACCTGGACTGTGAAAACTGATGGGGACCAGGCAAATTTATTATTCACCACTGAAATACAAATTAAATTGCCTTTTACTACAAGTAGAAAATGATTAATAGATGTTTAATTATACATCAAACTGTTCCAATTTCAAACTTTCTATTATCTAGCAAAGACAATTTGAATTTACACAAATGAAATCCAAAGCTAAGAGATAAGTGATTACATGTAGTACTATAAACATTTACTATCAAAAGTTCTTTATAGAAATAACAATATAAAACAACAGTTCAGAATTAAAACAAGTCAGAAAGAATAAAAGAAACAGCAACATGTACATACTCTTATATTTTAAATAGGACGGTGGTTGCCAATAACTTCAATTCATCATATTTTTGACAAATATGAGCCCATCATTTTAACTTTTATGGGAAATAATGGTGACAAACCTGTGTTTTTGACAATGTGTTTGGTGGCACTGTCACGAGTTACACAGCATATCTTAGTCTGGTTGACAGCAGTAATATCGCAGGAAACATTTCCAAATGTAATATTTGTGTCTGCAGTAAAGCCATCCCCAACAATGACCACATTTGTGCCTCCGTACACAGACCCTTGCGTAGGGTACACGGAATCCACTTCAAAATTACAGGTGAAATTCCCTATGTTGTTTCTTCTGGAAATGAGGGAAGTTAAAGAGTGTTTACAAAAGCCACTTCTGGCAAACTTAAGGAAGATGATATGTTTGCACTCATCCAATACATATAATGCTTTACTTCACAGTCAGGCAGGTAATTAATCTGGAGATTGTCACCCTAATATCTAATATAATGTCAATCAAATTGCCTACTGTCTTTACTTACCAGGGGTAGTTTAAATACAATTTTATCCAATTTATATTACTATACATGGTTCACGTGTAACATGACACATTGGATTTTCCCTTTCATAAAATACCAGTATTCACCCTTGGAATTATTTTAAAAATCAACTGCCCTTACATCTCTAGACCTAAAGTGATAGAAATAGAGGTAGCAAAGACATTTTATGGAAGGATGTGGTTTGTGTTCTGTTACCATACTTAAAGTGTCTAATATCACACTTATACCTTAAGTCAGCACATCCATTTGGAGCCACTTCTACAACAAAATCATGTACTCCAGGTGAAACAGGGGGCAGTCTGACAATTATCTGTGTGTCATTGTAGCTCATTATTTTGGTGGTGAAATGTCCAACCCTCACTGCACCTGAACTGCTGGGTGTACTGCCAAAGCCAGTCCCAAGAATTGTGAGATTTCCTCCACCTGTTTTGAAATATTGGTTACCATACATGTATTTAATTGCACCTGTCATTATAGTAGTAATTATATTTCAAGAATGTGCACTAAAACATAGCCATGAAATGATAATCTATGAAAAAACCCAAAAGACCCTACTGTACAACTGTTTGTCTTGCCATTTTATTATTCTTTAAATAAATCCTTCATCTTATTTTTTGCATATTAAATCACATCAATAATAAACTCATTGTTATTGAAATATATAGTTGAAAGTTCCCTAAAAGTATTGAATTCACCTTGTACACATGAGGTTGTAGTTGTAATGGTCACACTGGATATTTCCGGAGTGAGTTCATTGACATATGTGAAGTTAGTTGGACTTGAGATGGTTCCTGCTGCCTGGGAAACAGTAAGCTGAACTGCCCCTGGGGATGACTGAGGGTAAAAAAAAACAAAGTCCACATATTAAAATAATAAATAATAATATTAAAATAATAAACTATCAATGATAATCCGAGAATCGCATTCATTTGTATTTGAGTTGATATATATATATATATATTATAATTCTAACCATCAGTCAAATATAAACCGTGTCAAAGAAAACGTCAACACAAAAATTACCCAAAAAACAAGAAATGTGTAAGACTTCCACTCAGGCAGTGGCATGGAGGGATGCAGGTGATGGTAATTCTGGTATAGACTACTCTGTATCTTTAAATACTGGTAATAAATAAAATTAGGGAACAACCTCCTAAAAACTCAGTGAATTTTCAATATTTAAATATCAAAATCATGTTTTTGGGGGGCATTTCTATCAAAGAATAAGATTCCATTACAACCAAATATGCAGGTACTAATATTATCATATTTCATCTTAATCAGTTCTTACCACTGCAGGTGTCCTACATGTAATATGGGAATAATTCTGAGATTGTATTGAACATGGTTCTCCAGCCATTTCTACTGTGCCTGATGCAAAGCCTGTACCTCTCACAGTTAACAATGTACAGCCTATAAATGTAGCAATGTATATAGCAATAACTTATACACCTATTCAACAGCACAATTTTGTATCTCAAAATATAGCAAGTCTACAGCTGTGTTTTCAAAAAGAATAAATCTTAAAAACAAGCAAATATACATTACTGTACTTTGATGTTTTATCTTGTAAAATTCAGCAACAGAGAACATTTTAAGTGCTTCTCAGCAACTAAAAATGTACATATCTTTTAAACCAAATATTCAAGTCATGAGTTGACAAGTGCATCAATTTGGTTATCTATTATATTTGCTTTAAACAACAACAGGAAAAAAGGTGTTTTCCTCTCACCTCCAAGACTGCCATTGACTGGAGATATATCAAATATGAGAAAGTCATAGGTGAAGTTGAATGTGCCCCCTACATGCTGTGCCAATCCTAAATGTTCAAAATAACTATAGAATTTCAAACTTAAAGATAATGATATCATCAGGGAAGAACCAACATGGTGTCAATAATATTTAACATATGACTTTCATGTGCATTCACATACTGCTATGGCAAAATAAAAAAATAAAGTTATTGTCAGATTTAAGGCATGAACACCTCTTATTGTTATAATGAGAGAGAGAGGGAGGGGAGATTAATAATGGCGGATAATGGCAGAAGTAGTCTCACCTTTGCTGAGAACATTTACATCCACGGTGTGAGTTCCCACTGGACCATCTCCAATGTTACACTGCAACTGTGTGGCTGTGGCACTTGTTACAACACACGGTTCTCCTCCTATTGTCACCAGGTTGTCTGCAGGAGTGGTACCAAACCCTGTACCCTGCACAGTCAGAACAGTGCTAGAAAGACTGGAGCCTGCACAGAAAGATTATAGTTGATGACTTTTAAAATATATATTAAACTGACACAATTCAATATAGATAATTATATGAAGAATTCAATTAAAAAAACCTAATATTTTGCTTTTCAAAATCAGTTACACTGTAGGAATTTAAAAAAAATTAAGTGTACAATCTTATCAGATATCTATAAGGTATTTAACATAATTTTCTTTGCTGTTCTATAAAACATATCAAACAAGAAAAATACTGGTGATTGGGCAAAGCAATATGACTGCACACAAAAGGTACAAGAGACAGTTTAATGGCCGTAAATGGTATTCCTACCTGATACTGGTGTTACTGAGGAGACAGTGGGAGTCATTGCAGACTGCCATTGAAAGTCACAGTTGCCTGAGCATTTTGCAGGAACATTGTTAATCTCCACAGTCAACTGTGGTATGGTATGGTAAGTTCTCAACATGTCTCCAGGTATGCCATACTTATAAAAGGTATGACCGTTTTCCTCATTTATAGTGAGTCCTCGTTCAGCTGGTCCTGTTAACTGATTGTCATTAATCTGAAACGTATGTAAATATTCTGCCATTAAAATCAATTGTAAAGGTTGGATCCAAGTCAGAATGACAAAAAAGGCTGCACAATTAATCAATCACTGTGCCCCCCCCCCCAGCCCATCAAACTGGAAAGTGCCTATGACATAGGCTGCTTTCACAACAGCAGACTAATAGATCTGCAATCAAATGTGGCAACCCACTTAAAAGCTTGCTGCATAATCCCCTAATAGACACTGAATAGATTCCTCCCTGGGAGTACGCAACAAGCATTTAAGTGGGTCGGCTATATTTGATCTGCGGATCCTATTGTCCTCTGTTGTGAATGTGACCCTATATAAAGAAGGTGTGCTTCAGCTCACCTGAAGCAATGGGATATTTCCTGCTGTTTTCCAGTTGATATTCCAAACATAATTATGACAGTAACCAAGTCTCTCCACCTCCACTTCTCCTATGCCCTCTAATGTCTGCAAGCTTTTCTCCAGAGCATAAGCAGTGGCATTTATGGGGGCTGTAATAAAACAAACATTTTTCATCAATACATCTTATTAAACTGCTAAAATATGCAACTACATCACATACAAATACCAATTAATGTTTGATGCTCTTTTCTTTGCATTTTATCCATGTTATTGCCTTATATTTTTTTCATGGTTTCAGATTAGAATATTACATACAACTTCATTAAATCCTCAGAATGCAAAGATTCAAAAAGTTTTTGGGATCTGTCTGCCCTAATATTTCACAACCTGTTTATTCATCTTTCTTTTTTAAAGTTATTAAAGTAACCTCCGATTTTGGAGAGAACAAAAATATCTCACAAACCTGAAATGTTTCCATTTCCAAATGTCACTATGAAGTCTCCTTTCACAGGAAGTGAAGCTGCCTGAACTCTATTGACATGAACCTTGTTTCCACTGGCCCCTAACACCACAGTATTACTGTCTAGACTTCCAGAATTTACCTAAATAAGTTTAGTTTTCTACAGATCCCAATTTTCAACTGTCACACTTAGCCAACAAAAACAATGAAAAATGTATAAATACATAAATAAGTATATGTATAAAACTGAAAAACTTTAGGTCTGCATCAAGCACAGAATAAATTGTTTCAATCTGGCCATTATCTATCAAATTCATTGTGCCATTTGAATAGTATCCTTAAATCAGTTAATATATAACAAGTTTTGTAATGTCTTTCAACCTTTCCAATATGTTTTAATTCCCTGCATATTTTAGATAAAACTTGATAGATTTTTGTACAAAAAATGACTGTTCATCATTACTCACTGATGTCTGAAGTACATTGAGCAGTGGGAAGTCACTTTCACAGTTCCAGGGTTTCATTGTTATGTTGTATACTCCACCATTTTTGGTGACTTCTATATAGTCCATTATAAACCTATCAGAGCGAGGAGGCAAATATCTCCAGTTGTCAAATTCTGGAAAAAAAATACTATTTCAAAGTTAACATGCAGCCACATGCGAATCTTATTTTGCACAAAATTTTCTTAGAATTTAATCCATCCCACTGTACTATTAAAAGGTTGAGATTAACAAAATATATTTTCCTATAGTACGATATGTTTATTAATCTACTTTTATCAAAAAACTTAAAAGATTGAGATTAACAGTATGTTTAGTAATCTACTTTTGTCATAGGCATACTTCCTGTACTTTTTTCTAACTGCAAGTATCTTGTATATCACCATCAATAGTCTTACCTTCAACATCATTTGGTTTTGAATTAACAAGCATAATGTCATCATAGTACAGATCTAAAGTGCTGGATGCCGGGATAATAGAAATGTGTCTGATCTGGATGTATTTATCCAAAGACGTCCTTTTGTTTAAAATTGGCATCAATTCTATACAATCATACTGCCAGCTGAAAATCAAATGTAAGAAATGAGAAACATATAGATCAAATATTCTGAAATAAATCATTATTATTATTATTTTATTTTATTATTTTTTTTTTTTTGCACTAACACTTCTGACACAATTGAAGTCACATGCTTTATTACAACAAAATTGTTGATGTACTTTTTTGTTTGGTTTTTGAAGATATACACAAGTTTTCTCTTACCTATCTGTCCATGTGATACTGGGGACTGGACCATCAACATACCATATCCGTCTCCTCCCTCGAGCAATGTGATCAAAGTCAATGCGAATGAGTGGTGCAGCAGACAAACGTCCTTTATGTGCAAAACAAAACTGAAAATAAGAGCAGAGAAAATTAATGTAATGGGTTTGATATAAGAATGACACAATTTGACAAATAAATCTTTTTTGAACATAATGCCTCAAATTAACCCTCATTTCTTTTCTTTAAATTGGAATTTTTACTCCACAATTTAAAATCTTAAGGAATATACATTTATCCTCAAGATTTATTCTATAAGACCTGCAAAAAGAAGCTTACATGGATGTTGGCTGAAGTGATTCTGATTGATTTATGGCGTATGAAATAATTAGGGTTGTGCACACAGCCTAATCCACAGTATGGTGTCACATGTCTGACAACAGTTCCCCAGACATTCTGTATATTATTTGTCTCAGCTTCAAAATCTTGGTGAAACAAAGCTGAGCCTGGTGTGGTGATGGCATCAGCACAACGCACTTTGAATAGGTCTCTGAGAGCTGCTTTTACCTGAATGTATAAAAAAAGGGAATTATTTGCCCAAATTCCTCATTTTTCAGATGTTGGATTAAAAGCAACTGGTGTTATACAGATGTGACTAGTTATACACACATAATCAGTAGCTTTGATAAAGCAGCTGCTATTCATGCATTCAAATAACTACCATGTTTAATCAATAAGCACTGTCAGTATGAGATTTCAAGCAAATTTTGTGAGAAGTTGCCACATAATTTTTTAAATATATGTATGACAATACTATATAATGATAGGTATTTTTTTTCAAACCCACCAGATATAAAAAAAAATACAATCATGTGTGTTTTTGTATCTAATACCAGTATATCCATTTACTCATGGAAATTAAGTATCAATAATAGAAACCTACATCATCTGCTGAGGCATCATCTCTAACAGGAGGAGACACCACACCTTCCATTGTGAAATATATCTTGTCCATGGCTGACACCCCTGTGGTAGTTTGTGACACAGTCACACCATAACCTTCCACATCTAGCAGCTCAACATCACCTGAAACCGTTCAAAATTTGCAAACATTAATGTATTATATTAATATTAGAATAGTTAGAGAACTAGATTAGAGAAACACCTTAAATCATGGAGGGTGGGATTCAGAGTCAAAATGAGCAGAAAGTCCAAGGCAAGGGAGTAAATGTCACTGTTACTGAACTTTTTCCAACTGCACAACTACATGGATATAAATGGACAAAAATGTTCATTAGTTTACATAAATATTTTATAAGTCACCACACAATTTGCACTAGAATGTCAGTTGTTGATAATATATTTGATGAAGTGTGAAAAAAAATATAACTTAAAAGTGTCTGGCATATTCATACATTACCAACTGTATTTTTTATTAATTTTTCAATTTGCAATCTGTCATGGGTAACAAATTACAGAGGTAGCTACTTTTATTTCTATCCTATTGGCTATTTTATTATAATGCTTAAACAGTTGTTGAATCCACAAACAACTTTAAAACCTACAAAAAATTTTCACAATCAGTTTTTAAAATTATTCTTTAGAAGCAGATATATCATTACAACATTACTTTAAATTGGTTAGTCAATTAATTTGAACATGTAGTACCTATGTCATCCGAGTTGAAGGTAACTGTATAATCATTCCCACTCTTGGAAACCCCAACAGAATCTGGCATGATACTGGGCAAGCTATTCAATGCTGCCTTTACTGTAGATCCAGAGGACCCAACATCAATCAGTTCTGGAAAAAAACATAAGAATAACAGTCTATTTTGACAAAGGCTGTTGTATGGGAACACAACAAATGGGTAAAGGAAGTTGCAACCTTTAAGGCAGTTGTCAAAAAAATTGTTTAGACAGGGCTCACAAATACTAGCTTTAGCTTTAAAAAACAATAATTTTTTAAAAGATCACTTAAAAGTTACAGATGAAGGAAGCGTAGATTCCTGTAACGCAAAAAAAAATCACTACTAGTACTATGAGGTTCTTATACACCTCAAATCAAGTCCACAAGCCAAAGAATAAACCAAACTTATCTCTCAGTCAGCAAAAAAAAAAAAAAAAAAAAAAAAAAATCTTTGAAAATTCTGCAAATTTTTGGTCTTTTAAGAATTTAAAAATTTAACCTATTTCTCCATCCCTCCAGTCTGTAGAAGTCTGCCAAATGAAGTAAGAATGCTTGACATGCAATTGCATAATCATTCAAATAATAGTTGGTGAAAATGACCAAGAGTATGTATAGCACACAAAGGAAACAGAGTAAACATAATTATAATAATAATAATGATGATACAACTTACTAGTTTTGACACCTCTGAATCCAAGTCTAAATGAAGACGCTCCACTTCCCACAGTAATAGTTTGTACTTCACGTGTGGGGGTTCTTGAAGCCCAATTCTGTAGCTCTACAGTCTTTTTGTTAAATTAAAAAAAAATAGCTTGGCTGAATCAATATATACTTTAATATACCATTTCAAGACACAAATACTATATAGGTCTCTTTCTACGAAAAGAATATCTCAGCAAGTCATACTAATATGTTACAATACCTGCATGTTTAAGTGGAAGTAAAGGATTTACAGGTACTGATCAAATAGGACATTTACAAACTATATATATATCAATGAAATAGGTCATTCTCCTCTTATAAGCTATCTAATCTTATCTAAAAATTAAAAGTTATATATACACAGATTAAGAGCATATGGACCAACGATGCATCTATGCCCTTCATCTTAACTTCATAACATAGTCATTAGGTGTCCCTCTGATATCTTTTCAAACCATTTCCATAATTGTGAGTGCAGTTAATGTTTATAAATTTTATTTTAAAAAAGTCTAAAATAATAAATATTGAGGACCCTTACCATACTAAATGTTCCAACATTTCGGAAGTTGTCGGTAAAAAGTATAACTCTTTGTCTTTTTAAAACATTTTATACTTTCTAACCAATAGGAAGGCCTAAATTGATGGTAATAAGGCTAAATGGCAAGAAATATGCAGTCAGCAGGTCCAAAAGTAATGATATTGGGGCATTTGGGATTTATAACACTCTAAATATTTTATACTCAAAAAATGGAATAGCAAATTCATTTCTAAGTGTATTTTCTGGCCAGACCTCATGGACTGCATCTCTCACCTGAATTTCAGGCAAATTTTCAGCGCTCAGTGTCAGAACTTGTTTCTCCTCTTTAGCCAAAGTTGTTTGACTACTGGTGAAACTTGATTCATCAATTACTACTGCCACATAGAGGCTGGCTTCTGCTGTTAATTGAGCATGTGTTGCAGCAATATAATAACTGAAATTTGAAGTTTTAAAGAAAATAAGACGTTTATTTGAATTGAGATAACTAGTCTGTAAAAATGGATTTCATTACTCATTTTAACATTTTAAAACATAAAAAAAGATAAGCTGTAAGTTTCAATATATTAAAAAGACTCTTGAAGGCATAATAAGCTGATTTATAGTCTTCTTCAAGGAGAGAAATATAAAGCTGACAATGATAATTGTATTTTACTGCATTTCAACTCAATATGTATTTGTATTGTTAACACATGCATTTAGCAAAATCTTCATGGGCAATCCAGCATAATAATCATAATTATTATTATTATTTATCCCAAATAACTGGTGTATTTGTACTTATCAAATCTGACACTATTGTTGCCTAAAAAATTATATCAATTGAAAAAAAAAACAAATTTCCATAATATAATTCTATACCAATAACACATCAGCTCTAAAAAAATGTGTAAAAAACTGTCTAAACTTACGGTTTCCCTGCCTGTAGGGTAAATGTCTGTGACATCTGGGTCCCATAGGTTGTAAAGTAGGATGTTGTAGCCCTAGACAGCATTGCAATCTCAAACTGCAAAACAACATATTACCAGATTAAAAAGGAGTCTCAATAAGCATTTCTAATTATAGAGAACTGATTCTATTCAAAAGAGAAGACCTCAGCACTTTGGTCAAGTAATACATTTTTCATATTTTGAAATTGCACAACAAATATTAATGTTTACTGAATTCAATGTTACTTGTCATATTACACAGCAAACATAATGAATCTAGATATTTTTTTAATGTTCAGAATAATGAGGCAGTCAATAATTTATCATTATTTTCAGTTATTTGATCATAAGACATACTGCATCATCGGGGTTATCAGTGAGGCTGAAGAAAAGCACTGCGTAGTCATCACCCTTCAGGTAAAATCTGTAAGTTGTATTCTTTGGCGGCACAAAATATCCTTGCATACGAGTTGTGAAATATGTGCCATTGTCTTCCTCAAAGTAAAATTCATCTAGCCAAAAAGTTTTGTCTGGGGTAGTGGTACGATTGATGATCTCTCTTACAGCTGTTAAATCATTGTTGGAAACACCACTGTTCCAGCGTTCAAGATAAATACCACGGTTACCTAAGTATGGCAATGACCAAAACAATTACACTTATTATTATAACACAAAGCATCAAATAAAACTAAAAAACATGACTCTAGGTATACCAAATAAAGCTTTAATCATACCTATCAATTTGCAATAAACAATGGCACAAAAAGTTCATTCAATTTTTTTCTTCACTTTCGCCTTATATCTGCCTGCAAAGTGTCATATATTTGAGAGGTGAAACATTCACTGATACTATATGAATGTGTATAACTTGAAATATGGTTCTAAACAGGGGAAAAGTTACAAACCAGCATATGCATTTTTTATAACTTCAGGTTCAGGGGGTGTCTTGCACATCAGACCTTTGTCTTCAAAAATTACTGCTGCACAGGGTATACCTAAATATGAATAAATTCATTACAAAATGTTCAAGCAAAATAATACTATTTTTTTTTTAAAAGTCTACAAAGGAAAGATGCAGCTAGTCTTTTTTACTGTACCATGTAACTCTTACATTAAAATGAACATGGGCATTTGATGTGAACACAGCTTGTCTATATATTTCAGTATTATACTCTCTGACCCCCTCAAAAGAAAACATTTTATGACTGAATGATCATTTTCAAAATCAACTGCCTTCCACAAATAATCTTGAACAGCAATTCCGTTGTGACCTTAAAAGTGAAACAGATTTTTTTATGTCACATTAAGATACAATTGCATGAACAAGTGTAACCACCAAGGAGAATGCCTTCATTGTGCAAGATCATTTCAGCAGGGGGAATGACCACATTTTTTACAAGAACATAAATATGATCCTTTCATAAAATAAAGTATTTTTCATAAAATTGTTCATAAAATAAGCTGTAAAATGAATAAAAAACTTCTTGGCATCAGCTACAGATACTTACCCCCAACCTTTACTTTAGGAGGGGGATAGCTGGAATCATTCTTCAAAGCAGTGCCATTGACTCTTAGGTGTGTTTGACCCTCAGTACTGCCACTGTTATGTGAGGTGCTGGCTATATCTGCAAGGAAAAAGTCATGAGCTGAAAGATATTTTCTGGCTACCTTTACTTTTTGAACTAGACATTTTTGCAACAAAAAATAAATAAATAAATTGGAAGCCAGAACATTTTTCTTATAAACTGCTGTCCCCTAAAGTTCATTTTGGGGAAAAATGGGTTGTTTTATCTGTAGAAAAATACTGTAAGCTATAGTGGCCTTCTTGTGTTCAACAGTTTATATTAAGCAAAGAGACAAATCTATGAAATGTGGCAACTAACAAAAATTAATCTATTTAAAGCTACTGTCTCCAAAGTTGGTCAATACAAATCAGACTTATCTATTATACTTTTATTTGATCATTCTATCAGTTCTACACAAAGAATTTAATACATAAGTTTCCAGCTACTAAAATATCAAAAAATAAAATCAATAAGTTATACATGTAGTCTACTAGCTGTAAACTTCTATTCATATTTTTTGGACCTTTTATTCCATACTAAACACAAAGCTCACTCTTAAAACCACACTCATTTATTTAGCCTCACACTCTGTTAGCCAAACCCTGTTAATTCTTCTACTTATTTTAGCAATTTGGGAGAAAAAACAGCATGGTAGGCTGAGCACAGGTGTGCTTTTCAAATACAGTTTTAACGCAAAACTAAAGAGCATTCCCAGAGCAAAGAGTTCTGCAATGGAAAAAGACAATGAAAGCTCTTTATAGCTTACCAGGATATGTCTGGATGACATACAGGTTGTCTGTACTGGACACACGTATCAGACGCAGGTCTGTGAGAGAGCTGAATTGACAAACAAATATAAATATTCAATCTATAAATGAGTTGCTAAAAAATAACTTAGACACTTCAGTGCTTTCAAACAGAAGCTAATAAAGATCAGTTCTCCTTATTTGGTCAAAAAAGAGGAGGACAAGAAAGGGGTAGACAGAAGAAAAAAAGAAAATTATTTCTGATCCCTAACAACAGCCGAAGTATTTTTATTTACAAAATTACTGCCTTTGAATAAAATAACATGCTCTTGTCCAAAAAATAAATGTTTTTTTTTATATTCAATATTTGAAAATTAAATCAGGATGCCTCACCTTCCATAACCACCTTCAATCAAGTATGTTATATTCAGATCACCTGTCAAAAAAGAAATAAATATACCTGACACAAATACTTAAATAAACACTGTGATTTTATAACTACTTAACTATAGGGAGGCAATGTAAAACTTCAGTGGTCATGTACATGAATACAGAAAATTGAGGAAAATCAACATGTAGAAGGTCTATCTTGTTTCTTTACAAGTTGAAAAACTATAGTATAATGGCTGGTTAAAGAAGTTATCGAAAATATCAGATAACTCTCACCACTAGAAAATAACCCATAAATACCCAATAACCCAAACAGCTTTGCCCTTGATAGAGGTCAAACATTCACTTTACTGGCATATCAAGTTACACAAAACTATATGTCATCAACTACCAGAAAAACTGAAATAGTGTGCAAACATGTCTCGCTTCAGATCATTTTTAAAGGCTTTCACCTTCAAAATAAACCATGAAATGCGGGACTTCAATTGTCAAAAACAGCATTATACTCAACTTTGCAATTCCAGTGGAATTCAAATACAGCCATAACATTTCTTTTCTGGCAAGTCCTTCCAATTCATTGTTCTTCTTTTCAATCAAGAAATGCATATGTTGGTCAAAAGCAGAACAGCTGTTATTCTTTACTTACATGTGACAAACCCTTCATAGTTAACACCAGATCACTTACCTACATAAGAACCTGTAATTTCACACCAGAAGAAACCTTCACCCTCTATAGTCGTAAGCTTAACACCATACCTTGAAAAAACAAAATTTTTACTGAATCAGAATTGTTTTCTTATCAACAATCATGTCTTGAAAAGTTAGCTCCTATACCCCTACAAAGAGGTTTACCTTTCTTTTCTATAAGACTTTATTACCCATAATGTTATGTGAGAAAGAAATCATGTGTACATTTTAACTCGAAAGGGCTTATATCATAAATGAAGCGAGTAAAAGTCATGAAGGAAAGACCAACCCTTTTTTCTGGCAACATTTTGGAAGGACTCTAAATACTTATTTGAAGATATAGTTTTTTATCATGCTTTGTAGTATGGGTTCTCTATCCCTTTTTTCTAGTAAAAAAATACACGGACAAAAAAACTCTACTTTTTATAAGTTAGATAATTAAATATATTTCTTTCAAAAGAAGCATATAAATTACTTTTGAAGTGTAGTTCTATTCACTAGTTCACATCTTCTCCCAGAACTCAACTTGACACTGAAAGAAATAAAATTCAGTTTTTTTAAGATTCATTGCAGCACTTGATCAGTGTACACTGCAAATTCAATACCTATTTTTCAAAAGATACCAACTAGTCTAGCTTTGGTTAGGTTTACACAATCGTAAACAACAGTAATGGATGCCTTTATACTTCAAAAGGAAGAACAGTTGAGAAAAGAACACAATTATAATGTGTTATTCATTCTTACTGTCTCAGCTGCTCCAGTCTTCCCCCCAGGGTGCTGTCAATCATGTCGCTTCCATAGCGATCTGATATGATAAAACCTTCTGCTCGGATAAGTGATCCTGGAAAAAGAAAATTATTATACATCTGTCAATTTTGTTTACTGGTTTGGCAGGAAGAAAAAAATGCAGCAATTAAAGAAAAATAAATCAACATATTGGTTTTTGCAGGTCAATTCAGCAGTAATACATATTCATTGTTTCAATTTAAATTTTATAATTCTTTGAACTGTAGTAAAAAAAAAATGATATCTATATATCTACAACATGGTAAAATAAAGAAGTAATGAAAATTGTCCATTAATCCCATCAAAGAAGATAATTGGCCTTACCAGGAATTGCTGACTGATTAATTTTTCTGATAGTGGGCGTGTAGGCACTGCTTAACTATAAATAAAAGGTACAAAATTAAGGTTAATTCCACATGGAATTTGGTACCATCTTTCATTTGTGTATTAAACCATTTATTAAAACATTTTGTTAATTTGTTATTCATAAACATGAAATAATTCATTTGATCTATGTATAAAAATAATTAACTTAAATTGGTTGTTTGCACACTCCTCCTGACTTTCTGAGTCAGACTTAAATAGTGTTTTACAGAGGATTTTAGTTCAGCACTATCTTTACAAAAGAAAATCAAACAGAGTTTGAAATCTGTTCTTACAGTGATTTGGCAGTCTGCTAGGCGAGGACAGAGAGCAGCTTTTTCACCACAGGATGTTACACTGATAGTGTAACTTCCCTCTGGCAATACGCTTGTTCCCCTAGATAAATACAAAATGTGGTTAGGTATGTAAATATGCATATATATTTTGGTTTCAAAGGAGAGAATATTTGCATAAACTTCTTTAGTCATGCTGAGTTCAGAAGTTCACTGTTAAGGCCAGAAACTGCAGGCTTTTTAAATCTCACATTTCTAATTTTATGGATGGAACTATAACAGCTGATACTGGTATTTTCGTTCGAAGTTTGTATTCTGCACATTGGGAACATTCACAGACATGCAAGAGCAAATCGCATGCATAAGATTTCTAAGACCTTGATATCCATGATTATACCCCAGTATGACCAGATAACCCTAATATTTAACTAGAGATTTAAAACTATGTTGCCTTCTGGTTTACTGGTTTACACAAGTTTCCAGTTTGAATGAAACTTATGAAGTTCAAACTAAGCTAGAAAAAAAGACTTGAAAGTGTACTTATAAGAGAATATAGCATAACACAACATTTTAAATCCAAAAGCCAGTGACAATGAATGCAAAAACCATCTTTTTTTATGTATTATAAACTACCATAAATATCTTATTGTTATTTTCGTCACCTTTCAGTTGGCAGGACATGTTATATATTAATGGAAAAGGATGGGCGTGTGAATATGGAGTCTACTTGAATTCATCACTTAGGGTCCTAAATGTACAGGTATATTATCACATCTTTGGACAATCAAGGGGGCACAGGCAGTGACAATGTCTTCCCCTTATCTATATTATTTTCCAATCAAACATGTCAAGGGAAACAAGGCTGAACATTCCTTTTGCCCTTCCAACATCCTGGTGGACTACTGGATTCTCCAGCAAAAAAAAAACCCCAATAAATAAGACAAAAACGTGTTAGGTGATTTATACACCTGAAAACACCCTTCACTGTTCAACAGCCATACAACAATGATTTATAGCCCCACTCCACAGGACATAAAAAATAACAAAAGGAATACTGATCTGAACTCTACATGTCGTAATCCATCCTTTCATTGCAAATGCCATAACAAAACATGTTTTATGTTTGCATGACAAAAACCAAATTTACCATGGAGACATTGTAAACAGAGCCAAAAAATCTTATCCACAACCTTGGTGATTCCTCTAATGGTTACTGTTAAAAATGTACAAAAAATAACAATGGCTTGCATGACAGAAACAAGAAAACATCACAAAAACAAGTGTCATCTTTAAGAAAGATCTAGAAATGCAGGTAGTAAGAATTGAATGTAATGGTATTCAGTCAGCAAAATTGGTGATCTGCACCCTTACTTCATTGCAACCTTAGGCCTGCCAATCATAAATCAGTTAGCTACTGTGTGAACTACACAATCAAGAGCACTTTTTAAACTGGAGAAAAACTGATTTGAAAAAAAAAAAAAAAAAAAAAAAAGACAATCAAGCCACTAGAGCATTAGCAATAAATTAAAATCTAAATGCTGTCTGTAGTCCCCTTCTCTACTCACACTTAACACTCCATGTAAATCTACAGTACACACGCAGAAGACTCAGTTGACTTCTTCTCAAAATATATAATGCTGTGTATAAACTAAGTAAAAATGTGACTTTGTGCTTAAATTTTCTGCACTGGGTCAACCTACAGTGAGTGCAGTATATACTGATCATCAATCTTTAAATAATTTACTCACACATAATCCACCACTAAATCTTCTTCATGGCTGGCTTCAGCATCAATCCTAAGCGGGTAATCGATACCATTCTCTCCAACAAGTTTCACCTCATTTTGGTTAGTGTATACATCACAGAAATCTAAAAAAAAAACAGTTAATATAAATATTTTAAACGCCATTATGGGGGACCTTATTAGTAAAATAGTATAATTAATCTATCCATTACATAATCCATTATAAAAATATATACATAAGATTTGAAAAATTTCTTCACAGAATGCAACTTAATCCAAATTTATTGGGGGCGTCTCGATAGTCCAAAGGTTCATTGGTCCCAAAAATGGTAATTTTTTCATCAGTTTTTTACTCAAGGTTATATGGTGAACATTCGGACCAATGAACCTTCGGACTATTGCAACGGTCTCAATTAAACTACATGTAGCTGCCAAGTTGTAAACCCATCCTTAACTAATCGTTGTCATTATAAAGAGATTAACATGGTTCAAGGAAAGGTTGCCAATAAATCTATTATTACTACAGGTTATATTGGGTAGACCATTGATCTGCTTACTTTTCCCATACACATTGAATCTTGTTCCTCCCACAACACTGCCAGTAGATGGGAGGACATTGGTAATACTTGCTCCCACAGCTTCTGTGGCTGGAAAACCGAAAAAAAAAACAAAAAAACATGTGAATGAAAAATTAAGGGCACCAAGGTAAAATACCAGAAATACACAGAAAAATCTTTTGTACTGGATTTAGTTTAATATTTGTAACATGTAAATTTTAATCTACGTATGTGCGGGCTTTCTGTACTGTACTTTATGTGCTCCTATGTACTCCTACTTTTGCATATTTTCTAATTCGTACAAAATTAAAAGCAGAAAACATATAAAGCAGTGCTAGAGTTTGAAAACCTGAAATGAATAAGTTTGATCTAATTTTAAGTTCTAACTGTCCTAAGCCTTGCCTGGTACTACTGGCAGTGGTACACAATACGTACGTTTTGAAAATTTGACGATTTTTCTTTGGATTCACGGGCTTAAATTGAAAACACAGGCAGTCATACTCGCCGGACATACTGCCATTTCTTTCACATCTAGTTACTCTTGTACACCCAAATGGCACATTTCGCATTTACTTGAGGTTAGGTAGTAAATTTGCAAGGTTTTGCTGATGCTGTACCGTAACACGCGTGTGCTCTTGCCCTACTTTTTCGCGCAAATTTCTGCGTTGAAACCGAGGTCAACACCAGGAGCGAGGCATGTTGATGAAGGGGCGTGAAACCAGTTAGTAGGCCTACATGTAGCTACACAGGTTTTTAGGGGTTTGCTGTACATAAATATGACCTCTCGTAACCCAAATATGGGTATTTAAAAGCATGAGGTCTGTCGTTGTTCGTAACTGCTGCGTACAGCTTGGACCCTTGATAGATGTACGCTAGCTCAGACCTTGACCAAAAAGTCTCTGCACTCTGTATATCAGGACCAGTGGGCCACATTGATGAGCAAAACGGGCAGTGATAATAAACTAAGAACCTATGTTAAATTTAAGAAGGAATTTGTGTGTGAAAATTACACCCACATGGCCCCAAAAAATATTACGGCTAACTTCTGCAAATTACGTGTGAGCGCCCACAACCTCTCTATTGAACGGGGCAGGTACTGCAAGCCAAAAATCCCCGCAGAGTTAAGATTGTGCAAACTTTGTGATTCCAATAAAGTAGAAGATGAGTTCCACCTCCTGCTAGAGTGTAAAGCGTATGACTCACTACGTGATTCCTTCAGAGGGCAGCTGTCAGATTTCCTACCCCTGGGCGACCTCAGCAATAATAAACTGTTTAATCTTCTTATGGGTGCCCAAGACATAGACATTCTTAGAATGGTTATGTGTTTTGTAAATAGATGCTTAAAACAAAGAGAACAGGCCCTCTATTAATGCATTGTACTCTCTCCAATGTACTCATTCTAATTCATCACCTTCATGTATAGATTGCCATCATACATGTACATTCCTTATATAACTTATTATAAAGTAACTTATTGATATTATGCTACATGTAAACATTGAAATCATGTATATTTATTTATATACCTGTTTGTACTGTTGTAGTTAGATGTAATTGTCTTTGTCTTTGATTGTACCTTATTTGTAAAGGTGTATCAATAAAGAATCTTCATGTACGAAATTTTAATTAAAAGACGTTTAAAAGGAGGAAAAGGGAGGGGATCACCGAATGGTTTTGTGAACCGACCATTATGAATTTTACTTAAATTAAAAATTTAACTGAGCTCAGCCCTGTTTGGCCCGCTTATTCAAAGGTCTCCCATCCGACTCAACCTTTCAATTCACGTGCACAGAGTTCTAACATAACACACCGATATCAAATCCAAATCAAAAGTGCTTTTATTATCTATACATTACACACACACTATATATATGTACACATTTTTATCTAAGTGGAATCAATATGCGTTCAACAGTGCCTTAACCAAGGAGTTACGACAGTTGTAACTCCTTGCCTTTACTGATAGAAATATTAATTGCTGTACAACATGGCCTATTAACAGGTGAGAGTGTCCACTTATCAGAGTTAGACCCTACCTACATAGGGAGTGATAACAATCTATTTCAAGACAGGAGCAAGCGGAATGATAAAATGTTGGCGAAAAATCAGCTCGGTATGATGGGTATGAATACAGAATGTGAGAGAGAGATTTCCACAATGATCTAGCTACGTGTAGGCCTACCATGTATGTAGCCGCGTAGCGTAAGGTATAGGCTACATGCATTAAACAGCGACTACCAGTCCCACAAAAAATTTAATCCAAAAAGAAAGACAAATTATGTGCTTTAGGCTGTAAATATTTTGCACTTACTGTTGGTAAAAAGTAAAGTTAACTACAGGTGATTGCCCAGAAAACGGATGTAACAATTTAGGGCCTACAGTGCTTTGAACAAGGCGCATCTTCACTTTATATTTGTTAATTTTATTCATTGTTTTTGTTTTATTTTCTTTTATCTTAATAAAAAGCAATGCATGCATTAAAAATGTTACGAGGTCTACAGGCATACGTTCATGCATGTCCTCATTTTGAGTGTCAAAGTACATTAACTAACTTATCAGCAGAAATCGATTTGGTGGACGACCTGTGAAAGCCCCCTGTAGCGCAAATTTTACGTGTTGGGACCACCGCTCGATGACGCGAAAACGGTCTACGTGACATTGTTTTTATAACGAAATTTATCGTACCCTGGGAAAACATCAGTCCTACATTATGACATTCGGGCATTGATTAAAATGTTGTGGCTCCATCGTACCATTAAACAAATAGCTCAGAATATAGCTAAAGAATTTTAAAAAAATAAGCATCCACTACTGCAAACAATAAAGTCAGAAACCGACCCATTCCGACACCCATGCCTATTCTTGAATTTTTTTCTTTTCAAACTACAAGTATTATTGTGATTTACTTTTAATGGGCAAAAAAACTTTTTGTTGTAAAGCTTTATGAGCCCTTAATCCTGTGGTCGAAAATAGTAATTAACAAATATTTGAGGGGTCTTAAAACCTTGGAGAAAGGGGGAAAGGACTAAGCGACTTGTCGAGGGATGGAATAATAAACAATACGTCACGGGAAGGGGAATACATGGGAAGGTCGCCGTTCGAGGACGAAAGGACATTGTCATTTTAAAAAGGATCAATAACAAGTTGGCGATAAATATTTGCATTTCCTCAGCGACTTGTTAAGTAAAGCAGAATTGATTTGCTGAGACTTTTTACTGTCGAAAAATCGTCGCACGTAGTATGATAACAATACAATGGTCCGTATTTTGGGCAGACCCAACCCTACGTGGGAGAGTCGTTTTACCAAACCAGTTGCTAACAACATGTTTTCAGAGTTTGGGCTATCTCATATAATTTTAGATAAATACGCAAAATATCGAATATCGTCTACACTACGAGTAAGTCAACAAAAGTTCGTGACAAACACAAATGGATTTCGGACGACGTTCAAAACGTAAAAAATGTCCTTTGTAATTATGAGCTGGATATCATTTTCCTCGACGTCAAAAGTATGAAATCGCAAGAGTTGTGTACAACTTGTCAACATGCTTGCTGATTAACCCTAGAGTGTTTACTTGTCTTCTTTTTTTCCGGAATTATGAATTTTTAGGATGATTAATGAGGACCCTTATCCTCGTTTGAGGTAAGAGATGGGGGTAGGGTAAGAAATGAAAAGAATGAAATTGAAATTGAAAATCTAAAGCACCGCTTAGGCGCAATGACAACTGAGCTGACAGCTAATGATAAAATTTCTCATATCTAACTTTTGTACCATAGTACAGTTAACAACATAAAATGACATTTTTGCATCTCGGGGTAATAGATCCAAAACACATAATTTCATATCACACCAGCCGTGATAGATAGCACTGGATAATCCGTTTAGTAATGGATTATTCCTTAATAGACTGACTTTCAAATTCAATTTGACAAAACTAATTTATATTGCAAGGAAAACACATACATCAAACTTTTTCGCAGAAAAAAAGTATTTTCAACCTTTCTACGCAAATATGGTTCTTAGCAATATCAATTAAATATACGAATCTCTGTACTTAGACTTATCTTCACTGGTGACTTACGGTAGAATTGTTTAAGGCGAAATTCTATTTGCGCAAGAATTTATTATAGAAAATATTCAGACGTTAGACTGAGTATACGACGAGATTAATAAGTTTAAAAAAGGCCCTAAAACCCATGTTGTGTTGGACTTGCAACCGTCTGGAGAACGGATTTGGTCCATTTTCACATATATATATATATATATATATATATATATATATATATATATATATATATATATATATAAAACAAAAGAGAAAGTTTCAAAATTAAACAGCTTCGTCTCGGCATGGTCTCGAGACTTTTCTTCCCACTGGACCCAGTGTAGTCCTCTAGGGCTGAACTCTAATTATTTTATTTTGCCGATTATCCAAGGTATGAAGAAAAGACATCATACTATCTACCATTTCTCCTGCTAGTACTGAGCCCAACCCAGTTCTTCTGCCCATTTCATTATTCTACATAGGGAGTGCATCAAAAAAATTTTTTTTTTTTTTTTGTTATAATGAAGCTCCTCTGTTGGTGAAGATACATGTACTACACTGTACCTATAAGAAAGACCAAAGATAAGAGCTCATTGAAATATTCGTTGACTTAGTTTGAATCATTAACACTTAGGAACGCGGGTTGGGCCCAAAACACATAGAATTAGAGTGTGTGTGTGTGTGTGTGTGTGTGTGTGACCCGAAATCATTGAATATCATTCACGTCAGAACTCTGAAAACCGTTATAATGAAAATGCTTTAAAAGGATTATTTTTCAAACTATGGATTCAACAATTGTATTGGCCTTCGCTAAAAGTTTGTCTTATAATCTTATATACAAAACGCATTTTTATGTCAAGAGATTCGGTGGTGTACCCTTGAAATCACAAATTATATACGCTTACAATATCTTACACGCACGCACTCACACATGCGCTTCGTTGGCATGCATCACGGTTCAGTTTGGCTGCTCAAGACCCACGCTGTCCGACAACTGTTATTTGTCTGGTGCAAAGTATGGATTATATGTCCAAGCAATTATTTTTCTTAATGACAAGAAGATATCTTGTATTGGGAGCAAAAGTTGATCGAAAAAATAGTTAATTTGAACACATCACGAAGATAATATTTAAGGGCATGGAAACTGATAACGATATCTACTGTACCTTTATGTCACCTACTAAAAGAGCACAGATTTTGTAAATGAAGAAATAAACCAATAATAGGCCCATTATCTTTATTTGTGATTTTTTAAGTACAGCATGGGTCACTTAAATCACTAGACAAAAAGGTGCATAAGCCGTCTACTTTTAAGGCATTTTGCCTTATATTAGCTCTAAACAATCTTTCAATAAATGTCCCCTCGGGAGTGAGAGGGCAGTTGAAGCAGAAAGCAAATCGTTTTGTTTTTCTTACTGATACATGTATTTGGTACAACAAACATATAAAAAACGTGTCTGAATAAGTTTGCTTGTGCAAAAATGACAAAGCATATAGAGTTTAATTGGGTGTCGTCTTACAACATTTCTAGAGATGCACGTAAGGCTTATTCTTCCATTGTATGATCAACACTTTTTTATATCTGCCTAAGGCGTTTTCCATTGGTTAGCCTGAAAATTATTCCGAAAAACAACCCTACAGTGGAGGCGTATTGCCGGATATATACTGATAAAAAATACTTATTGTCTAAATGACACAACGTTACGCCCATTTAGTTATACATCAGTGATAGTAAATGCGTTCTCCATAAAGTCTTTTCCGCTAATAAACAGTAGATGTAATTTTCCCTTTACATCATGCTTAACGTACATGTATGTATTCAGATGTTTCTGTAATCACTTATATAATATGGGATCAGTAACTCTTTTCAACAAAGGGACGAGGCATTATGTTTGTCATGTCCCATGTTTTAATCTCTTTCGCAGCTTGAGAAAAATCTGCCTGTTTCATTGTTCATCTATCAAGCCTTGAATTTTGATCTAAGTTTTCTTCTAAATTGTGCCGATAATCAGAAGAGGTCTGTTGCAGGATTGTTTTTAGTTGTTATCTTCTGCGACCAAACTCCCAACGCTATTCCCACCCTCTCTTTATGGATATTTTTTTAAAAATCCTTCATATATTTCAATCATCTAGTTGTAGGCCATGGTAAGTGAAATTCTACCCAGCCTGTCGGCACAGACAACGCTTAACCGACTATCTTCCTCCCGAGTCCAGATAGCAGATATATCACATGAACTCTTCCCCCTTGACAGATACAATGGGTATAACCAAAGAAAAAAATTCAAAAACGCAATTTTACGTATTGTGAACGGTTACAACGTAAAGAAAATGTCACTCACCACTACTGCACGATAACACCAAATAAATGACCACAAGGCAAGAGATCGTGGACCGTGGCATGGCGAGATCACAGTCACGAATGTTTGATCGATGATGATGTCAACACTTATACGCAATTCCCAGTGGGGAGCAGCGTGTGTGATTTGAACTCGTGTGACCTGCGATGATCTTCATTACAACGCGTTGTAACAAAGTCTCTCTATTTATACGGTTCCCTGTCGCTTTGAGCATGCGCTTGCACAATACGCTTTTTTTCGGGTGCATACAGGTGTATTGATTTGTTTGCGTCGAAGAATGACAGCCTAAATACTGGAATACAGAGTTAGAACGTTTGTACCGCAAAAGTTCACTGCGGCCAAACCTTTCAGTCTATTTGGAGAATAAATGCCTTTCATATAAAGTGCAAAAACAGGCGTTTACGCAACAATGTTTTCAGATGGCAATAAATGACCCGGCCACGGTTACTCAAGGTGAAGACGCCATAGAAATTAGGATAATTGTGGTTTTTATTCAATATCGACAAATTAAATGCCATTCTCGGGTTTATTACCAACTGCTACGTGCAGCATAGTAAGGTCTTTACATCATCTCAGCGAGATTCAGTGCTATTTACCAGAAGTTTTCGAAAGAATTGCACTAAATTCAACAGAAATAAAAAAATGTGAAGGTTGTGAAGGCTTTTTCTACTGCTTTTCTTTCTGTTCTCTCTGTTGCTTACTTTCTCAATTTTTGTTAAACCCTTTCCCCTTTCATACTTTTATTTTACTCTGGCACCTTGGTGGCCCCTTAGCCGTGGTGCTAGTGTCTTGTGCATTAATCTGACCCTGGTAGTGCATACCCTCTGGTTTTTCACAGATATTCACAGATATGTCTCTAGATAAATAGGCAGTCATTTTGGTCTGGGTGGATTTTTCCGCTTTTCCCTATATAATCTGCCACCCTGGTAGAGGGTAGGTAGTGGAGCTGACGCTCATAGTGAGCCTTCATAAGATACCCCTCACATGGAAACCTGCACAACCAACACATCTTTTTGTAGCATACAGTGATATGTAATGACAACTATATCTAGTTACACCTGATTATAAGTCAGACACTTCAATTTTGCGTTATTCAAATATTTTTACAGGATGATATGTAATCTTCGCATAATCATTGTTTATACTAAATATGTGACATGGAAAATAAATCACTAGTTATCTTCAGCTAAATTGAGTTTGGTTCTAGAAAAGGTTTGGGGTTTTATTTTTAATATGGTGACCTGCTGATATCATTCAATAGAATTTTGCAGGGTTAAACAAATTGTGAGATATAATATAATTTAAAATTGTTTTTTGAATAGGAACACGTTTTTAACGAAATCGCACAAGAAAACTCCGTGAGTAATGCCGGTGTAAGGAGGGTAAATATCGTAACAGAGAGCATTCGCCCTCCATTAGACTCATACAGGTTAAGGTTAGCTTGGCGTTAGTGGGTCAAAATCTAGGACGCGGCTTATCTGTGTAGATAAATGGGAACCAGGCCCAGACCTATATCACCGGTTCTAAATTGAACGTAAAGTTCAATAAATTTTCCTGTAACTTTGCGTGACTTATTTCGCCAAAAATAACAAAAATACGTATGTAATAAATCAATAGCTCTGCAAATCATGAATACACTGAAAAGATGCGGGTATATATTTAGAATTGTGAAATGCACATTTATGGAAAATCCGGCAGGATGATCAAAAATTCATGCGCCTTTGGAACAATTATGAAACCTGTTGTTGCGGTAAGCCTATATCATTAATGAATTGCTGATGAATGAACGGCGGGCTTTTGACGAAGACGACAAAATAAAAATCAAATCGATCCCAAATATCTATTTGCTCTTTGCAATCGCTCGGCATGCTGACGTGCACGCATGCTAGCACAGTCGGAAGAGTGTTTAAGAAGGGGTTAAGATGGACATTAAATATTAGATCTGTTCATTCAGTGCACGATTAAGCCGATGTAGGTCTACATTTATCATGCTAACAATGAATATTGCTGGACTGTCACCGAGGCAAAAATATTTCAAATAATTCCAATGGAATACGACCTATCTGTTAAAAAATGCGCAAATATTGGTCATCTAAAGAGCTTAAGAAGGCCTACTAAAATATATGTATATTGAAGTAACTGCTTAGGACTATTTTACTCAACTTAAACCAAATAAAATAGGCCTACTAAAGTTTGGCAAGTAGTCCGAAGCTTTTATTATTCACAGTTGTGTATTTACCTATTTATCTATTTATTTATCTGTTTGGGTTTGTGTAAAAAAAAAAAAAAAAAAAAAAAAAAAAAAAAAAAAAAAAAAACGTGGAATTAAATAAAATCCCCATTAATTTAATCTAGGGCGATTTTTATAAATTCGTTTAAAATTATGTTTTTTCTTTTTTCTTTTTAAATCATATTAAATTAAAATCGCCAATACATATTCTAAGGCGATTTTAATAAATTCGTTTTAAATGATGTTTTTTCTTTTTTCTTTTTGCGTTATGGTAAACTAGAATGATGTGATTTTTATTTTCATAAACCAGATTCAATCAAGGCGACAGCCGAGCGTGGAAACAAATGTAACGTGGCCCGATCTTCCCAAGTTTAGGGCGTATTCCCAGACATTTAGATCGATCTATCCCCGTGGGGAGTCTCACTAGATTACAGTCAGATAATCCGGCTTAAATGTCCGTCCCGCCTACTACAAGCTGTAAGAGGGTAATTAACTTTCGTGCCCGCTCGGCTGACAGCTATTTAGCATGAACCCCCAGGGAGTTAGGTCGATCTAGTTTGGATCGATCTAATCTCTGGGAATGGGGTCTTAGGGTGCTTTCCCAGAGATTTAGATCGATCTAGAGATTAAGATTTAGATCGACCTAACTCCCTGGGGGTTCACGCTAAATTGCAGCCAGCCGAGCGGGCACCATAGTTAATTACCCCCTTACAGCTTTTAGTAGGCGGGACAGACGCTTAAGCCGGCCAAGCTGACAGTAATCTAGTGAGACTCCCCACAGGGATAGATCGATCTAAAAATCTATGGAAATGGGGTATTAGATACCACCACATTTTCATTATGCATCAACTTAAAAGACAGTGGCGGATTAAGGGGGCGGGGGGCAGGGGGTCCTGACCCCCTCCCTCGGTTTCTGAAAAATAAATCACACTTATATTCCCCTGTTGAAATTACAATATTGACTAGCTAAATCATAGTTCTAAACTGCGGCTTATCTGTGGCACTAAATGGCACTGTTTGCCCTCCAAAACACCAAAATATTTGGGGCCCTGCAGCGGGACCCGAACCCGACGCCAGGGGGGGGGGGCGGTTTTGTATCTGAAGCCTGTCATTCCTAAAAAAACGCCCACCTCCCCCCCCCCCCTTGAAATAATCATGGAACCTCACCTGTCATACCACCTGTAAACCGCGTCCAGCAGACAAAAATGGTATACGTTACCGAAACATACGTTACCATTTAGAGCTCTTTACATAATGTAAAGACATGGTAAATTAAAAATTCAAGTAAAATTGAGACAGTCGTAGATTTTTGTTCTATACGCATATATGTTTAAAAAAATTGAATACAACTTTGAATTCATTCAATTTTAATTAATTAATTAATTTATTTATTTATTGACACTTCAGCATGTGAAATGCACCGCTATATTGGGATTGGGTGATACTGTACATGTACATCCAAACTGGAGATGGTAGAAAGTTTCAATTTGAACTGACGCTTCTGCGGCTCCGTGGTAATCTATTGTCTTTGACACAGGTAGACCCTTGTACATGTACGATGTTCGAATTTTAGAATGACATTTGATTACTATCAGAGGAAAAACGTGCGTACAGAGGGTGGGTGCAAAAGAATCCCCCCCCCCCCCCAAAAAAAAAAAATCCAAAACCATCATCAACCATGGTAACAGAAAGTCACGAGTTCGAATCACCAATGACGCATGTCAGTCCGTCACGACTGCGACAATGGAATCGGGAAGTCACGAAAGAAAGGCAGGCTCTCGTGGGTCTGTGCAAGTTACCTTTTTGCATGAAAAAAACGGTATATAGTTTAGAATAACTTAAGTGATCGATTTGACAACTTATTGCTGGTCATTATCATAAAATCTGCGTTGTCAATAACCTTTCCTTTCTCTTCACTTAAGTCCTTAAAGGGATAATAACGTATGAGATTTATATTTCACAATAAAAATATTGTGAATAACTCACAGAAATATAATATATTCTGTTTTACCACAAAAACGGCAGTTATAGCTATTATTCTGACATCTGAGCTGGTCTTCAGACCACGTGACCTCCATTGACGGCTATACTCTGTTATAATTTCTTAAGAGATTTAAACAAAAAACCAAACTTTTTTAGAAAAAAAAACAGGGACTAATAATAATAATAATAATAAAACACTTCTTTAAAACCGCGCTACACATGCGTCTCAGCGCTGTTTACATAAAAAATAAAAACTCCACAGATAAATTAAAACCAGTATAGACTAAAAACAGAATACTTAAAAATTTTTTAAACTAAAAAGATGCTATAAATTAAAGTATTCTCTAAATAAAAAAAAGTTTTTAAATTCTTCTTAAAACAGTAATATGAGTCATCCAGAGACACATTAGATCTTGTGATAAAATTAGACCATAAAATCGGTGCACAAATCTCGAAACTTCTGTGTCCATATGTTTTAAGAGTCTTTTTGGTGTCTTTTCGCTTAAGTTGAAGTTGTCCACTAGATCGAAGTGATCTGATAGGAGTTAAAAGTTCTATGGTAGAATTTAAGTAAAATGGACAGTCGCCCTTTAAAATCTTAAAAGTCAAAAGTAATATTTTAAAAACTATTCGTTGAGACACGGGTAGCCAGTGGAGGTTTCGCAGAATTGGTGTGATGTGGTCGGACCTCTGAGCTTTACAGAGGAGACGAGCAGCAGAGTTCTGAATTGATTGTAGCTTTTCCATTTGATAGGTAGGTATTCCAAACAATAGGCTATTGCAATAATCCAGTCTAGAGGTTACAAATGCATGGATGAGTAATTCAGTTTGCTTGGTGTTAATAAGGTGAAAGATCTTGGATATCCGTTGGAGACTAAAATATGCTGTTTTACATACTTTGTTAATGTGTGATGTCATTTCACATTTGTTATTAAAAATAACACCCAAGTTCCTTACTTCTGTTGTTGGTT